GGCCGCGTAGCGTTAGAATTAACACGCCCCCAATTTGGTGATTCTGGTTCATCATATATCTACAGCATGCCCCTTCATTTGGCGATTCCGGTCCTCATATATACCACCTGCGGTCCTTGGCAGGGCTTCCCAACGCCGCCGTTCACAGCGAAGGGCTCGGCTGGACAGAGGCTCAAGGAAAAGAGGGTAAGTCACGCGCAAGTAAAACAGCATGAAATCCCCTCCCCCCACAACAAGCAACTCGATGACCGGAAAAGGCTTGCTCTAGATCAGCGGGTCCCCGATTTCCGCCTGGTACATTGGTTCCTCTTTGAGATGGCATGCTGCCTCTTCCTACTGCTGGGCCACCCTCCCGCGGCGCCACCAGGTTCTTCCCGGGTGAGAGCCGGAGGTCCCCACCAAGGCGGCGGGGAGACCCCGGTTGACAGCCGGGTTCCCACAAGGGTGAGAAACTGGAGCCAAATGGCTATCTCTCTCACTCTCTCTTTCTCTCTCTCTCTCTCTCTCTCTCTCTCTCTCTCTCTCTCTCTCTCTCTCTCTCTCTCTCTCTCTCTCTCTCTCTCTCTCTCTCTCTCTCTCTACCGGGTGTAGGGTGGGCCAGCGTCCAGGGGCCCCCCCCCTGTGCGAGTCCGCACACCCGCGTTTCACGGGTGGTTCTTCATCCCCCGTCGGTTTTACTGAAAAGGGCTCGGCTTTACTGGTAAAGTGAAAAGGCCAGTATTTGTTCCCCCAAGAATCAGCAATGCCCAAACGTAACTAGAGCAGCCAAGCAGTGCCTATACTGGCCTTCTCCGGGAGCAAGAGGAAAAGGCATGCCATCCCCCGTGATTTCACACGGGCAACTCTGAAACGTCGAGGCCGGAAACATAATGAATTTGCGCCTCTTGTCCCCCGAATTCACTTGCGACAGGTGTGCTGAAAAGAAACTAGGATTAGGGCTTTTTGTCCAGCCCGTTGAGTGAGGGTTTGCCTGAGAAGGGCCATGTCGGCCCGCACAAAGAATTCACACCAAGACGCAGCTTTGCTGGTACTTTCAGGCATACGGTGAGGTCACAGCGAAAGACCGAAGGTATGTGCATGTGCAAGACAGCAAGGTTGCATTAGGGGAACGAGGGCGGGTCAGCGTCATCCCCCGAAGTCCGAAACAAGCAAGCACTCCCCAAAACCCCAAAAAGGACACATCCCCCCCGCTCGCTCCCTCAAAACTTTTTACACACGCCTTCACTCACTTTGTTCAGCATCGTCGTTCATAGCTGGCCCGCATGTGTTGCTGGACTCGCTGCACTGCCCTCCAACTTGCGTTCGGTCGGAGGTTGGCTCTCAGGGGGCTTCGGCTTGGTGAGTGAGGCCTTTGAGCTCCCACTGCTGAGCTCGACCCGGCCGTGGGCTGTGTCGCCCCCCCCGGAGTCAGGTTGGCGTCGTCTTGGTCAGCGTGTTCCTCGTGGCTGTCGCTTCCCCAGTCCGGCACGTCGTCGGGAAGGTCTGTCTCCCCCACTGTTGGGAGTTGTCCTTCCCCCACTGCTGCAGGTGCCCGGCTTGCCCGGCTTGGTTCATCCTCTGGCTTGCTCTTCCTGTCTTTGCGTTCTTTTTTGTCTCTGCGGCGGTGACGGTCTTTCCCTTCCTCCTTCTTGGCCTTCTTGTGCGCCGTCTTCTCCCCCTTCGTGGTCTTCTCGACCACCTTCTTGGCCTTCTTGTGCACCGTCTTCTCCCCCTTCGTGGTCCTCTCGAGCTTGGGCTTCTCCGGTTCGTCCCCCTCGCGCGTCTGGAAGACACGTTTCGCTTGGGACAGGAGTGGGGCGACCTTCCATGGAAACCTCCCCACGTAGATCCGCAGCTCCTCTTCTATATGTGGGTTGTGCTTCCCCACCAGCTCCACCAGCTTGTCGGCATTTCTGCCGGTGGCTCGCCTTTCGTTGTGTCGTTGCTGGTAGCACTTGTGGTCGGCGACTTCGTCCTCAAGTAGCGGGTCCCCCGTCGCCCAGTCCATGTATTGCTGGGAACGCCAAAGGTAGTGGATGTCTCTCCCGATCCACCGGTCCAAAGGCCCTGGCTCATACAACAACGCCAGGCCACCTTCCGTCTCAAAGCGGACGTAGTTTGCCCATGGTTTTCCGCTTCCCCCGCCTCCGGCGTCTTCAGGGTTGCGGGTCTGTACCAGAACTTTCTGCGCAGCTCCCCCTCGTCTGAGGTCACATGCTCTCCCCGTACTGGTGAACGTGCCGTTGGCGACCATGGTCTTGTAGCATCCTTCCCCCGGCTCGTGAGCTTTGTGGCAGAAGGGGCCCTGCAGGCACGCTTTGCAGGTCACCCCCATCTCCTGGAGCACCTCAGCCAGCTTGCATTGTTCCTCCCAAGTGGTGTAACCTTGGCTGGCTTTGCAGATGGAGACCTTGAGAGTCGTCTCCCCCTCTGCTCGTCCTTCCCCCCGGCCGTGGGGTTGCTTGAAGAGCTTGCCATCGAGGTAGACGTGGTACCGGTACTTTGCGAGATCACCGTGTGGTCCACCGGCACAAAGTATGCCCTTTCCCCCTACGGGCGGGCCACCTTCCGAAGAAGGGCCGCGGTCAGGTTCCAGGTTGAGCGATCCTACCAGGGGCCTCTCAAACAAAGTGGCGACGGATATGTGGACTCAAGCAATGCTGGGAAAGACAGGAAGGCTCTCCTGGAGTCACAGTCCAGGCCAACCAACCCCCTGCCTCCCCCCCCGGCAAAGGGGCGTTACAGACCCCAAAGCACAGGTGCATTACTCTCTCTCTCTCTCTCTCTTTCTCTTTCTCTTTCTCTTTCTTTCTATAGCTCTAAACAGTTTAGTTCCCCAAACAGTGCTTGCACGATGGGGTTCTTACGTTCAGAGTAAAGGAATTGATTGGTTGCGGGCCGCAACGGCGCACGCGCACCAATTTCAGTGCTTCCGCTGTGGTTTCGCGCGATTTCTGCGTTTCGACGCTTCCGCTGTGGTTTCGTGCGAATTCCCTTGCGTTTCAATGCTCCCGCTGTGGTTTCGCGCGACTTCCGGCCTCTTCTGGCTTGCTCCGGCCTCTGCTGGGGCCCACTTAGGTTGCGGGCCGCAACGGCGCACGCGGTGGGGCGCGACCTTCGTTTCAACGCTCCCGCTGTGGTTTCAGGCAAATTCCGCTACGTTTCCGCTGCGTTTCAATGCTCCCGCTGTGTTTTCGCGCGAATTCCCTTGCGTTTCAATGCTCCCGCTGTGGTTTCGCGCGACTTCCGGCCTCCTCTGGCCTCTTTCTGGGGGCAGCTTAGGTTGCGGCCGCAGCGGCGCACGCGGTGGGGCGCGACCTTGAAAGCGGGTGCGAGTTTGGAGTTTGAAAGTTTGAAGAGGAATCCAGCTTGGAAGTTTGAAGCCGCGGCAACGCGCATTGCGCGAAGGAGCAAGGCGAAGGAACGCTGGAGACGAGTAGGGGTTCACATAGCAGCCCTCAGGCTCGAGTTCGAAAGTTTGAGAGTTTGGAGTTTGAAAGTTTGAAACCCAGGAAGTTTGAAAGTTCGAAAGATTGAAAGCTTCGTTCTTTGACGAATCGAAAGTTTCAAACTTTGGGGGGGTTGAAGGCTTGAAATTTGCAAACTTCGAAAGTTTGAAAGTTTGAGAGGCGCGGGGTTCGAATGCTTGAGATGCTCAAAGTATGAGAGTTTGGGAGTTTGAAGGCTTGTAAATTTGGACGGCGGACTTTCGAACTTTCAAGCTCGACGCGTTTCAAACCTTCAAACTTTGCAACCTTTCAAACATTCGAACTCTCAAACTCTCGAAGTTTCATTCCTTTCAAATTTTCGATCTCTGAAACTTTCAAACCTTCGAACTTGAAACCTTTCGAAGTCTGAAACCTTCGAACTCTCAAACTCGCGACCTCAGCAAAAAAGCCGCAGAGCGAATCTGAAGCCAACCTTTCAAACTCCGAACTTTCGAACTTTCAAGCTTTCGAACTTTCAATCTTTCAAACCTTCGAACTTTCGAAGTTTCAAAGCTTGAAACCGTCGAACCTTCGAGTTTGCAAACTTTCAAAGTCTCAAACTTTCAAACTTCGAAGGCCGATCGAACTCGACCGCGGCAAAAGTTTGAAGTTTGAGTTTGAAGCAGCCAGTCCAGCTCGAAAGTTCGAGAGTTTGGGAGATTGAAAGTTTGAAGGTTTCGAGTTTGAAAAGTTCGAAGTTTGACGCCGGCTAGCTTGTGCATACCAAGGTGCACAAACTTTCGAACTCCAGCACTTTTCGAACCTTCAAACCTTCAAAGCTTGAAACTTTCAAGCTTCAACCTCCAAATTTTCAAACTTTCAAACCTTCGAGTTCGAACGACCTCGCTCGGGACACCATTCTATCCGGCCTCTTCTGGCCTGCTCCGGCCTCTTTTGAGGGCCCGCTTAGGTTGCGGACCGCCACGGCGCAGGCGGTGGGGCGCGACCTTCGTTTCGACGCCCCCGCTGCGGTTTCGCGCAAATTCCGCTGCGTTTCGGCCTTGCGTTTCAATGCTCCCGCTGTGGTTTCGCGCGACTTCCCGCCTCCTCCGGCCTCTTCTCGGGACCCGCTCAGGTTGCGGGCCGCAGCTTTCCCGCGAATTCCGCTGCGTTTTGACGCTCCCGCTGTGGTTTCGCGCGAATTCCCTTGCGTTTCAATGCTCCCGCTGTGGACTTCCCGGCCTCTTCGGCCTCTTCTGGGGGCCCGCTTAGGTTGCAGGCCGCAACTGCGCACACGGTGGGGCGCGACCTTCGTTTCGACGCTCCCGCTGTGGTTTCGTGCGAATTCCGCTGAGTTTCAACACTCCTGCTGTGGTTTCGCGCGGCTTCCAGCCTCTTTGTCGACCGCTTCTGGCCTCTTTTGGCCTCTTCTGGCCCTCCTCACTGTTTGGGGTCTACGCCGGCATAATTTGTTTAGATGCCTATTGATTTTTCTTAGATGCTCATTTATTTTGTTAATGCCTATTTAGTTTGTTTTAAGACCTCTCCCCATCGTGAATAGGTGCAGGGATGTACAGGCGGTGCAGGGGATGTTTAATTATCAGCATCTGCCCAACCTCCCTTGTCCTGACAGCTGTGCTGAGTGCAAGACGAACTGGAGAATGCCTCAGATCCCTTGGTGGCATCTGCCTGAAGCAGTGCAGGCCGGTGGTTTCGAGAGAGGTCACAGCAGCGACGTTGAGTCCTAGCGTCCTAGCATTGGCCACTTCCTGGCGGCTTCCCGCCTGCCCAACGAGCCAGGGAAGGTCGCGTCTCTCCGTGCCCTTCTCCGAATGAAAAGTAAACCTCGGATCCACGAGTCACACTCGGCTTCCAACTTCTTTGAAACAAGCCCTGCGTTGAGGTCCGGGCGACGTGAGAGGAGGAGAGAAAACTTGAATCTTGGTACAATGGACTGCCGTGTCGCTTGCCTTCTTCATGCTTGATATCGCTTGGATCCCTACCGAAACTGCTGGCTCAGTCTCACTGAGATTCTTCACGTCGTGCATGCGCACCTCGCCGGAAGCCAGGCTGAGGTCAGAGTCCAAAGCTCACAAGCTCGCATAAGCTCGCATAAGCTCGCGAGAGCTCCGAGGATCGGGCACCACACTCCTGCAGAGCGAGCGGGAGCTACGTTGGATTCATTGGATCCACGTTTTCCGGAAAGCAGATGGGCTCTACGGATTACAGAGGAAATTGCTGTCAAGTGCAAACATGTTATGACGAAAGGGACGAGGTTGGAGGAGATGTTGTGCCGCTGTCAAGTGCTAACGAACCTGCCTCCAGAAAGCTGGCCGAGCCCTCACCGAGCTCCGTTTGGCGCTCGACCTCGTGACTGGACCGGCTTGCGCTGAGGCGAAATGCGAAGGCGCGCAGCGCTTGCTAAGACTGCAGCATCGCTTTCCCAAGGGAAGAGGCCAGGGGAGTACTCCTCACCAAGGTGGATGCATGCAGCATCACCACACACCATCACTCCAAACTAAGCCCTCTCCTGGAAGAGGAGATTCCCGTGAAGAACCTGTAAAGCTTCAAGACCTCTCTCTCTATATCTCTTTCTCTTCCCTGCGGCATTTACATGAGAAGGTACACTCTTGGCTCCCGAGCTTTCAGCCACATCACGCGACCTGCGCAAAGGTTCTCGGAGGACCCAGGGAAAGCCCACGAGAAACTGAACCCCGGACCCCGCCTCGCCCCACCGTGTGCGGAGGGATCTTCTGGCCGGGGCCTTCAGTGCGACATGGCGGAGCTCATCTCCCAGCGTGCCAACATGTGCCAACTACCAGAACGAGGGCCAGGCTCCAGCAAGAAATGACAACGGAAAACTCGTCGTCACCTTTCAGTCTCTCCGAGACTCCGGATTGCTGCCGAAGCAGGGAAAGCAACTCTAAGAATCAATACTTTTTTGCGGGATCTCGAGCGAACTAAGGGCTGCTGCAGTGGATAATGTGCTGGACGGGTTGAAACCTTGAGCAGTGGCGCAGTTCGGCATCACAAATGCCAATACTTCCGCTGAGCCGACTCAGAAATCAGACTTCGTGAAGCGCCTTGTGGTCTCAACCCTTTTACAATTCTGTCTATACCCCGGCACTCATGGCATGCACATCGTTCTTGGAGGATACGTGATTTCTCCGGTAGGGGTATGTTGCAGCTCTGTCGAGCTCAAGCTTGCTTCAAGCAGGGCAAACACAGAGAACTCTGAGCTGCCCTGCTCGCTGAAGTGCATGGGACTTGCGTAGGAAGCCTGGGAGAGAGAGGGCTCAAGACTTTCAGACCAGGACAAAAAAAGGCGCAGCCATCATTGGTGACTCTCCCATGTTGCCAGAATATCTACATCGATTTGAGCAAGCAGCCCACTCCATGTCCGTCATCTCTGCAGACACCAGCAGGTCCAGCACGGGATGCAGATGAGTTTTGCCATCGCCCTCCTGGCGTGCAAGCCCGAGCAGGTCTCCCGAAAGGTCTCGGCCCCGGTGCCTCGGCTCGGAGGTCGCTGAGCTTCCCGCAGAAGTCTTGCCTCAGAGACGAGGGGCGACGGGGGGCCGGAGGCGGCACCGTCTCGCGTCTTCTCGGCACAAGGCAGGCTGAGACTCTTGGATTCCTCAGCGGCCTGAGCAGCCATGAGGCAGCCGCGGATTCCCTGCGGGCACCAATTTCAAACCTCCCTGCCTTCTGCAATCCCTCAGGAACGAAGACGCTGACCATTGGTGCAGTCCTCAAGCGCCGAACCGGTTTCAGCATCAGCTTGCAGTAAAAGCGAAGAAATGAACTATTTTGAGGCTTTCACTTCGGCGGCGCACCGGTAGGAGGGAAGATACGGCACTCCTCTTGAGCGGAAGTCTGCAGAGTCCCACTACTTGGACCGCAGCAAAACCCAGGGCTTCGGAGCCCTTCGAACTTCGCCGAGGGGCCTGGAAGGGTGGCGAGTACACATGTAGAGAGACCGCCACCTCAGCTTGACTCGACGTCACACACAACTTTCGACATCTGACAGCGTTTGATAGATCGGCTGAACCTATAAGTACGCAAAGCTGTCGAAGGGGATCGAGCCCCACGCATCGCTCTCGCTGGGATTCTCTATCTGGTGGAGACCCAGGGAGTCGTGCATGAAGCTGACCTCATCTAGTGTCAGCAACTGAAGGAAGTGAGCGGATCTTCGTGCAAACCTGCGAATCAGAGATTCCTGCTTTGGAAGCTCAGCAGTTCTCAGGCGCACTTTGGTTTAGGCAGGGCGCAGGAAACGCAAACAACTGCCAGTGGTGAAACTGCAGGGTACACATGCCTTGCTTGCTTGTCGGGACCATACCTCACTGGATCTTGCTGGCTGCATGCGAACTACCCTGCATGCTCACGCATCTCCTTTCGTTCATTGTCTTTGGAACGGCGTCTGAGAGAAGCTTGCCAAACACTCCGAAACCAGATCACGGATGCTCAGGCTCCAAACGAAAACCGGGGCTGTAGAGTTGTAGAGCTGTGCAAAAGGCACTCAGCACGAGTACCGTCATGACAGCGCACCAAACAGGAAGCTCATGCCAATGCTGGCAAGCAGCCTCGGCGGCCAATCTGATGAAGCTTAATTATGGCTTCATTACTGGCCTGGCAAATGCATCAAACCCAGAAAGCTGGAACATGCCGGGAGGCAGGAACCAGAGCGTTACCAGGGGCTGGCTGGTGACCTGGCTCGCTGCCCAGGCAATAAAGCAACCTCATCAACCTCATCCGTTTTCGCTTTGCAAGCGAGACTTAGACCGGCACGAAGAACGCGAAAGCCATGGGAGGACTGAGAACGATCAAGATCAATGCCACGGACCTTACCATGTGCAGATTTGGAGGTGGAGGGGACGCGAACAAACGAATCAAGTCGCAGGTTTGCTTTCGAAGCGACAGGACGCTCGAGATCGGGAACGGTCCTGCAAGGAGCCTCAGAAAGGCTCTTTGATGATAGAGATGCGGAGCTCGGTCACAGCTGCTTCGGCCGCGGACGTGCCCTTGATCGCCTGAGCCTCATGAGGTGCTAAGGCTTCGAGGCTGCGAGGCTGACAAGCAGCTCTTTCGGATGCCCAGCCTCCAGCCAATCCGCACTCCCATCGGCACTGTAGAGGGGCTTGTCACTGGGCGCCCCAGCGAGGTCTCCGACCTCAATGTGCAAACGCGAAGCGGAAGGTGCAGAAGGCGGTGCCACGTGTTGCCACGTGCAACCAGACGGCAGTTTGGAGCCTGCTGGGAGCGACAGTCTCATCGATGGCCTGGACTGGTGAAGACGGCTCTGAACACTCTGCCAGGCCTAGCCTGAAAGAGACGGCAAAAAGTGTCTCTGTCTAATCATCTAACCTGACACTGCTCCTGATGACTGGCTGATGCGTCAGTGCATGTATAGCTGGACCCGAATTGAGCGTTCCGTCACAGCGCCTCGCGCGGCCACTGTCCGCCCAACTCCATCCCACCACCACCCATTCACGATCTAACCGTCGCACACCCTGCCTGAACCCGTCGCACATAGCTTCGACCATCGTAGCCCAAGAAAATGACAACTGACCTCATGCACTGACAGTGCTGCGAGACTGGCACGTGAGACACTATCAATCGGGCAAGCCCTTTTTCCCGGCGGTCGATCATGTCGAGGAATCTTTTGCCGGTAATGACATTTCCGATTGGCACTGGCCAGGGAACGCTCCCTGGGAGGACAAAACATTTAGTACAGGGCCCGCACTGTGACATTGCAAAGCCTGTGAGGTCGAAAGCCGACGATCCCCTATCCTTCACCCAGCATAGACTGTGGTGCTTGATGTTGTCTCGCTCTATGAGCTTAGGGTACCTTTTACCCACCATCACAAGATCGTGCCTCTGACGTCATGGCATGATGTGCGGTCCCAGAAAGGGAAGATCACCACCAGGTGCTGGAGAGTTCCGTGCACAGGCCTCGCTGCACAACAGCACCCGGAAAGTTCAGGTGAGCGCCACTGGGAGCAAGTGATCGGCTCTGGGCAGCAGATTACGCGATTGCTACGCAGAGGAGGGTATCCATTCTTTCACTATAAAGGTGCAAATGTGCACTCGCCGCCAATTGCCCAACACTGCCGGCTCTCCTCTTGACGGCGCTTGAGGCCACTGTCCAAAAATTCAGGCAGCCTTTCAACTACGAGCTGTCCGCCAAAAGTTGCAAGTCTGGGCACAATGACATGAAGCCAACTGCTCCTCCCTTGCCAAGGTCAAGGATCCATGCAGATGAGCCCGAAAGCCAGCCCGACACGAGATGACCGAAGTGTCGATGCGATGACTCTGCATGTCGGGTTGCATTCAGGGCGCAAGTTCGTGGATTCGGGGACCACGAGTTCTGACGCTTGATGTAGTCCCATCAGTCGGTCAGATTCGGGGTCCAGGGTATGAGCCTTCCGGCTCTGAGCACGAGGCCTACTCGGTGACTGGCACGACGGGATGAAGGGAGGAGCGGAAACGAACTGGTCGCAGCATCCCGCTCCTCACTCCCCTATGCGTGCTCAATCTTTTCCGATGAAAGAACAACGAGCCCGAATTGCACGAATTACTTGGCAATGGGCACACGCGGATGTCTTTACAGCCAAGAGAACCACCAAAAAAACCAGAGTCACCAGAGCCCACGCTGCAAGATCAGCCCATGCGTCAACGAACTTGCAATGCACTCTGCCCGGGTCGGGTGACAGCCTGGTGGATCGATTCGTGGGCATCTTGTGTCCCACCATGCCCCCAAAAAAGCCTTTTGGCCCACTCAGCTTAAAGCCCGAATATAGAGTGGCTGCCTTCCAACGGCGCTATGCAAGGACATTTGCGCGCCAGGCACAGGCCAGTCTTCTCCGAAACACAGTACCGTTTGGAACCTTCAGCTACGTGACCTGTGACAAGAGGCCGAGCACACATGTGTTGAACATTATGGATTGCCCTGGGCTTTGCCTTCCACCACTTGCAACAAGACCTCCACATCCCTTAGCCTTAGCTTTAACTAAAGGCCTAAGGGAACGGAAGGAAAATTTCCTGGCAAGAAGATGCTGGACGCAGTTCCCATTGTGGCTCCATAGCCGATCGCAAAAAATCATTCATTCTGTTGCACTTTTCCAGCTTCCTCCTATCCCGTGGCTAAGACGCCACGGGTGGAAATAACGAGCTTCGGCAGCCGGTCACACTTCCATGTGGGCCTTGCTTCCTGAGCATTCGCTTTGGGAAAAGCTAGCCTTGGCTCCGTCCGATGCAGGGACAGACTCAGGTGCGTGCCGCCGCGGCTGTGCTGGCCCACTGACAGCTGGCTGTTTGATCGAAGCCTAAGAAGCTCAAACAGTGCAAACAGTGCATGCACTTTAAGACTTGGTCCCGGAAAGTTGAGGCCGCTGGCAGATTCTCAAAGTCGGCTTCCACCTCGTGGAGCGCCTCGATCATGTGGCCCATCTCCTGTATTCCGCAAAACATCGATGCCCGACTTCCTTCTTCTGTGTCATTGTCTGTCCTCATCTAGCTCCACCACCAAGCTCTCGTTGTTATCGGTGTCGATACTATGAAGCCTGGATTCCATGTGATGGATCGCTTCCTGAAGGGCCGTGCAAGTGCATGGCTGCTGCAACCTACGTGGGCTCTTCCACAACATCCCGCTTCCGTGCCTGCACTTCTTTGAGATCGGAGTCGAAGCGTTCCTTTTCCATCCTTTGGATGTACTGCTTCAGCGTCTTTCCTTAGATTCCGAATGGAAAACTTGTGGCAAACTTGCTCTACCAGTACCTTATGGCACCCGAGATGCTGAGGGCCATGTAGCACACGCCCAGCGTTCCCGTGAAGCTCGCCGGGACAAGCAAAGCCCGCGGGCCTGGCATCATGTTCTCCTCGTAAACTCCTCAGGAGCTGCAACGAGCTGCAACTCTGCAACATCGCGGAAGGAACGGAAGCCCCCCTCCCTCTGAGCGAAGCTCCAATAAGGCCGCCAATAAAGAAGGATGTCCACAAACCCGAGAGGACCAACAGCTTGCGTGCCTCGGCGCATGATTTATGCAGCCGCATGGCTCGCTATGAGCCAATACAATGCATGCTTGCCACATCGACGCCAACTTCAGCTTTCTCCACGTCGTTCAGCTCAGATCGCCGGCACCCCTCCAAGCATGCATGACTGTGAATACTTCTCGATGATGATGCGGGCACGCTTCTCCAAAGACATCTGACGGCGGATATGATTGCGCTGCCGGTGATGTTACACTGAAAATTCCTCTGCTAGGGTGCCTGCAGCCTGGCTGTTGCCGGAAGTGTGTGAAGTGCTACAGCACAGGATGCCTTGCGCAAGTAAATCATGCTGATGCGGCCCAGCGTGGATCCAATGTCAGTGACCTCAGCTGTAAGACTGAGTTCATGCAGCTTCAAGACGAGTTCAAGATTCCTGCTGATAGCACACGCCGCCTACACAAGCCAACGGCAAGTTGTTTGTTTAATGGCTGTTCTGCAAACAACAGATACCCTGGCCACCAGAAATCCACTTGGAACTTTTAAGACTGTTGCACACAAACCGCGGCGTCGACTGTCGAACTGCTGCAAATCTCTGCGGGCTTTGGGGGCTCGGGTTTGCGATAGCTATCATCCTACTTCTTTGGACCTGGACTCCTAGACCACAGGGAGACAGTCCATCCATCAGACAACACGCCTGCTCGTGCGCTTCTGGGCCAGCGGGCAGTTACTCAGGGAATCAAGAAGTTGCGTTTGCGAATGCGCAGGCCAAGAAACAGAGTCTAGTGCAGAGGATCCCACAGTTTCCATTCAGGAGGCGATGTTAAGTGCTCGCCTTCAAAATTTTTCCCGTTCCCCCGTCATCCCCGCAGGCGTTGCCTCGCCACTTCAAACTGTGGGAAAGTTTCCGTGAGCTACGAAGCTCCGCCCGGAGTGCACCGGCTGCTCCGGCTGCGGCTTCTTGAACCCCTGCGCCCCGTGCTATGTCATGGGCCATGGAGAGCAGACGAGAGCAGGGCTGGGGTGTGGCAGCCCGTACAAGGACAGGCCAGCGAACATGGAAGGCGTGACATGCGCGGTGCATCGTGATCGCTTTCGGCAGTGCCCTCTTTGATGGGGCTACGGCACGTAAGTAGGCACGTGGGGCTTGAGTGCAACATGCTGGGACCAGCTCCGCGATATCCGTGGATATGTTGCATGTGGTACAGTAGTACTGCCGCCTGCTTGTCATGCTGAAACTCTAAGCCCCTGTGAGAGACCGGCGGTTCCCGTCACGTGCGTCGTGCGCACGATGGCTCCGAAGTGCGATGTGCACATCGCATTCCTTGGCTGCAGCCAGCTTCGGCTTTGCAAGCTCACCCATTCCAATTTGGCCAGGCTGCTGTAGGCCACAGGCAGCCGCCACCAAGCACACAGGGAAGAGTCTGGCAACACACTGAGATGATAAAGTGTGCGAACAGATGCTTCTAGCTTCAAGGGAGGACCGACTAAGACGACAGCGCAGTGCCGGTGCCACGGGGAATGGGCAAGCAAAGCATCGGTATTCCGTCAAGTTTCACAGCTTCATGACCCGATGCCTGTTCACCATTCTGCTTGTCTTGCAGTCGGTCTTGAATAACCAGGGTACACCCGTGTTGAGCCCCGTCGGCCTCCCCGGAACGAAGGCGGCCAGGACGAGCAGCGTGGAATTCAGTATTAGGGCCAATCCATAGAAGGCTTTGCCCAAGAAGTGCACCTCGGTCCATTCCAATTCTTGAGGACTCCCTCCTCCGTTCATGCAAGTTCGCAGGCGCCCACCTGGTTCTTGTCGATGAGCACACCGCAGGCATAGGCACCTTACGCCGTCATGTCACCAGCCCGAGCTAAGAAATGTAAAGACCCGAAACCCCCAAAAAAGCGTTCTCCAGATGCATCTGCAGGTACCAAGCAGGAAGGAGCCTACGAGCGCCACTGCCTCCTGGAGGCTCTCCATCTCCACACCATCTGGCGCAGGGCGGCCGCGCAACAAAAAGGAACTCTCAAACTCAACCTTACCCTCAAAGCTCTTCGACCCGAAGTACACACCGATTCCAAGCGCCTTGGTGCACACCTTCGATTCGGAAGGCAATCGCTGAAGTGCTGCCAGTAACGTGAGACGCATAGAGGTGCCTCCAACCACATCAAATTCTTTTAAGAATCCACAAGCGATCGGTTTTGCTTGCCAAAGGCACTTGGACGCTCGTCGTTTGGCGAGAATATCGAATTCGTTCTGCTACACGGATGCTGTCATCTGGTCAAGGCACCAGCTCTTGAAAGCGATCACGTTGGAAGCGCCAGCGCATGCTGCCAAGCACCTGTGAGATGTGACAACAATGATGCCTGCAAAATCATCTGGACATGAAATCTCCACAGTCAGTTGCATCCAGTGGTCAAGTGGCAGCTGTCAGGCTAACAAGTGTACAGCCAAGACACCATCCGAATCCTTGGAATGTTCCGAGACTCTAGTAGTGTGCAGTAATGTTCTTGGTCTCTTGCTGGCAAGCGGAGATATGACATGATCTTGTGCACCGGTGTCTCCGTCGGAGAACTTTAGGCAAGGGAGGCTGCTTCTACAAAGCGGGAGAGTGTGCCGCTGTACCTCCGTCAGTCCTTCTTGCCATCTCTCACTCTGTCCCGCTCTCGCTCGCCCTTCTTGCTTTCTTCATCACCCTTATTCCTTTCAGAATGAGTCCAAGCTGCCCTGAAACCGTTGTTATTCATTTCTTCGCGGTATAAGCGCGGGAGTTTGCAGTTTAATAAAGGGCAAAGAGGTTGGCGGGGGCGCAGCCTCTCCCATTTGCATGCCCACGTGCCTTGTGTGAACTGTCTCTGGGGTCTCTTTCTCGCTATCAAAACTGCTTCATCTCTCGCTCGCTGCCTCCATGTCTTTGTTTCCTTTTCCTTGCTTCGGGCAAAGCCTAGGCACCCATGACCCAGAACTTTGGCCGTTGGAAGCTCTTCCGGATCGCTGCCGCTTTCTCCTCGCGAGTGCAAACACATCCCCCCCCCGGAAGGAAGCAGTCATTCCTAACCACCTCAGGAAGAGCATCTGAGCCCCAAGCAATGGAAAAAAGACTGCAACACACATCGCCCCGCCCCAAGCTAGGAGAAAAGCAGAGACTGCAAACTCGTCATCTCCGAGTTCTCCTTGATCTTCTTGGTGGGTGAAGAGGCCTTACAGGGACAGGGACAGAAGGACTCTTTTGAAAACACTATGGCCGATACTGGCCTAGGCCTATACTGGCCTTCCCAACTTCAGATCAAGAGGCCGTGGACTTGTTGGAAGGAGATGCGTCCTTCTGGCATGTCGACTTCTCGGGTGCCTGCTGATAAAAGTGCGAGGAGACTGCGAGAAGTCTTGTATCAATGTATCAACTTGTCACGTTCTTCCAACGTGACAAGCTTCACACGGTCACCCAGCCTGCAGATGTTGGGTCATGGCCTCAGGTTTGTTCTTGCATCACGACAAGCAAGGTCTCAGGAGTGGAGAAGCAGTGAAGCTCAAGACTCAAGACCTAATGAATCGGGAGCAGTGAAGGAATCAGCTTCGACAAGACTGCACAGTGAGGTCCAACGATGCTTGACAAGTACAGAGAAGAGGAACGTCGCATGGACAGAGACTCGACAATGTGGATCACCGAAACACTGTGCGACAGGTTCTGAACAATATCAGTTCTTCTGCAAAGTCGCGTCACCAAACAGCTGGAAAATGGGACTGGTGTGAAACGCTGAGACCTTTGTTTGAGCCAGAGCGCCTGCAATTTGAAAACAGCTCCTTCATGGACTGTCCCGTGCAGGGGCAACTTCACTCAACCTGCAGCAAAGATGCCCAACAGCCACCGGCTGCTTCACAAACCTCAAGCATTCTGCTTATGCAGGATGACAAACCCTTTGCCTTTGCCGGTAATGCACACGATGCCCACACAGTCCTCGTAGCTCTCACAGACGAGCTGCACTAGGATACTCCAGGGAGGGAACAGCATCGCTCTCTGCTCCTCAATCAGATTGACGGTGCAACAGATGCTCGGGTGAGACTCAGAAGTTTTGTTGCTTCGAAGCGTCTGAAGTGAAGACCATTTGCAGGTCCAGCAGAAGCCATGCGAGCGAGAGCAAGCTAGCAATAGCCCAGCCGATGACACCTCACAAGGACAAACAGCGATCCAAAAGATAACCCAAAGTAGAAAAGATTCATCCGAAAAGGTGGTTTACGAATGCTACTGCTCTGTGAATGCGAATCGCAACCGCCGTCTGCTTCCAACCGCGGCCGAAAGGGCTGGGAATTTTGGAGGACACGCCCAAGCCCAGCTCGAGCAAACCCCGGCAGCAAGGCGCCGCTGCGTGCCTGCAACAATCTCCCTTTTCTCCCTTCTTCTTGCTCGGTTATGAAGCAAAGGGATGAAGTAGAAATCTGGAGGGCAGCGCACTGTGCGTTCGGCTAGGTTCCAGCTGAAAAAATTCAGTCTTTCTGGGGCGGAAGGCGACACGGTGACGTAGCCTAGGGCCTAGTCGGATCTTCTTCAAGCTGCGCCTGTGCCAGTACCAACATCTGTCGCAGCAAACCGAGAGTGCTGCTGTGCTTAATACATATAACTGCACATGCTCCGTAGACCCCGCTCAGAGCTTGAGGCTTGAAGTAATTTGCCGGCCGCTACTCTGCTTTTCCGACGACATGGTCAGAGCAGGTCTCCCTTATTGTTTTGGGCACCTTGCCGCCGCAGCAGATGCGCAGAGCCAAACCGCGCACTGGACTTTGACCTTGTCCAGACACCAAGAATCCAACCGAAAAGCACAAGGGCACAGGAAGAGCGCAGGCGCATTCCGCACTGCAGGTCGCATTCGAGTAGCATCATCGCGCAGAAAAGCGATCCAGGAGGCGCCGGTGCTCCCCTCCAAGCCCTCCTCGCCCTCCTCAAGGTGGAACTCCTCGCTCTAGTTCCCAGGTTGACAACGATGCAAGACGACAACAGAATAATTACAGAAGGTAGATGTCAAGTTGTGGCCTCGTCATCTGGCAACCATGTTTCCGAGGCATCCGCCATGGCTGGTTTCGGAGATCATTTGAGGCTTAGGACTCGGGGTAAGTGCTGTGCAGGATGGATGCCTCCACTGCACATCACCTTCCGGATGATGAGGGTGCAAATGACGGTGCGTGTGAGTGCTGGACGTCGACACCTGACACCCCGACACGTGCATCTTCCATCCTCTTAGGCCTTTGCTAGCTACGAGCCTTTCCGATCAGTTGCAGATGGTGTCTTCAGACATACAAAAGGCTTAGAAGGTGGCCATTCACTCGCTTGAAAATATAGAACATTCTAGATTTTACAACTGCCACTCTCCATCTGCGAGCAGGCATGTGCAGCTGCAGAAACCATGTCCAAGAGCTCAGCACTCACATTCTGAGTTTCCAGTCGGCATCCAGGCCCAGCAGTGACGAGGCCAGGCCCTTTCTGTGGCAGACTTGAGGCCCCGAGCACTCTTCTCCGTGTCAGATGCATCCAAAAGACCAGGTGGCCCTGCCTGCACTGCGCACGGCGCACGGTCATGGAAGGGATGACAGGCGAGTCGGACGCACGAGTCGAGAACAGACGAGGGCAAGCCATGAACCGGAGTCAGGAACAACCCTAAACCCTAACCCCTAAACCCAAAACCCGACTCGCACGGGGGACCATTTCCGACCAATCTCCTGGACATGCTTCACTGGGCGTTTGCCTGTTCCGGACTCTCCCGTTCCGGACTCACTGGGGGCTACCCTGACTCGACGAACGTTCGTCATGGAAGCCTAGCTGCTCGCGAGCGCATGTCGGGATCGACTCTTCACGCCTGTGGGCCGGAGGAGCCGTTTGGAGCCCAAGCGAATTTGCGCTCCTGGCCGGGCTGCTTCAAACAAGTGTGGATTCAGCATCTTCTAGCATGGCTGTGACACACTGCTATAGTAGCACAGCCCCAACGGAGACTCTCAGCAAATGTCGGACACGGCGCCATGGCCACACACGCTTGCTGCAACTCCTTGTTCGATTGACTTGCCAAAGGTGAAGATGTGGCACATGGACAGGAATTGCTGACACTTTAGTGCAGCAGAGCATTCGAAAGTTTCGCAGCTTTAATGTGCTAGATGCGAGCCGAGCAGTCAACAGCACAGATAAGTATGGGGGTGCTGACATATCACTGATACGCACACGCTGAAATCATCAGAAGGGTTCTAGGCTTAGCCCTGTGCCATCCAGAAGTGCCTGAAAAAATGAAAACAATGCACTGCAAGGATGTTGTACGATGTCACAAACGGCAGGTACACACGGTTGATCAGACCGCGCTTCACCCATGTATCCAGAGTGTCTTCGTTGTTGGCAGACTCTGGACCCTGCTGCCACCCCCTGCTGCAAGAATAATCGCAAACGTCTGGCATCCAGAAACCCTTAGCTTAGAATCAGGGTGTACACACACACACACACGTTCGCAAGCTGTCGGCACACCACGGTTGGCATCACCAGATCACATAAGCCGAATTCTCAAAACGTGACGTGCGCACTTGAAGCTGTCCGCTAAGCATCTTGATAAAGCAGTGGGCACCTCAACATAAGCGGAAAAAAGTCACCGGCCCCGCCCACCATGATCCGGCTCGGAGAAAGCTCTCAGCCTTTCGCCTGCATGGTCATGGATGGGGCTCTGTTGGCCCCGTTCCCAACACAGCAGCAGCACCTCGGTTGGCTCGGACCGTGACGAACATCCCCCAGAACCTCTGACATGCTGTCGACGGCCATTACCAGACTACCGGCAATCTCTTGAGACGTTCGTCGCGTTGGTGCACACAGCGCGAAACTCCCAAGAACACACTCTCATTCAGTCTGAGGCTGCGGCGATAAATTGGTTTGGCGAATATCCAACTATGTTCCTGCGCAGCTCTCCACACGAAATGCAAAACGTCCAGAAACAGAATCCCGGAAGACTGCACCTTGCAGGAAATCCCCATCAACTTCTCTTCGGCCGACTGTAGCCTCTTCTTCATACTTGGTTGCTGAGTTCATAAGCCCAAACAAACACTTATGAACTTTCAGATGGAATTATCCCAAAAAGCGTAAAGTGTACTCATTCAGCAAACGATCATAGAATGTCATGAGGCAGCACCCATGTTCCTGTGCGGTAACTGTTGGGAAGAACATGTCCTAACAGGGTACTACAACACTGTGGAAGTAGCAGAAACAAGTAGAGGTAGTGCCGGAAACATCTGAACAGTATGACTGCAGATGGCAACAATATGTAGAGCACAAGGCACAAAAAGCGGTGGCGGTCGCCTACCCGCAATAGCCAGAAGAAAACGTAACTCGGAGTCGTCACGACACGTCGGCAAAACCTACAACAGATCAGAAGGGAATGCCCGACCCGCCTGGTGTAGCGCCCCCGCCGGTAGACTGCGTGTTGCTGCCATTCACGTGGGTTCAGCTTCACGCTCTGCAGTGTCTGCCAGAGGTGTCGCGAGCAAAACCCCTACGAGACAAGACCTCCGAGTCACAGTGCTAGTGCAGATTGGGCGTCTTGCCTCACCTACTCTAGAAGATTCCTCTTAGCCATCATTGAATTCTGTCAATAGGTCGGTGAGTGTTTCTTCCGCAAGCTGGCTGGCCGTGCCCGCAGCCTCTGTGACGGATGTGACCACATCACCGTTGATGGGTGCACCCATTGCCGGGGCCGGCGGGAACAACTCACCTCACTTTGGCTTTGAGCTTTCGTCTTGGCAGAAAAGCCTGAGGATTAAGGCCCTGGCGGAGGCGGGTCACCAGTGAGTGCATGTCCAGATAGTTGTCGCTCGGCTTTTTCTGCTTCTGACCAAGAACCAAAGCACACATCAGAGCGACAAGGAGGACGACACTTGCTGAGAGAGCTCGCGCAAAATCTAAACCAACTCGCCTCAAGCCGTGTCAGCCCCGGGGCATCAGAGAAAGCTCTCTGAGCAATTGCCGGGGATGCCTCGGCAACATTTCCCGTTTGCCGTTTGAGACGAAGCGGCAGCACTTCTATGATTGCACGGCACGCGAGATCTGGGAGGTTCTCTGAAGCTCAACAAACGTGCCAAAAGGCACTTTCGCAATGTGGAAGATGCCGAATCGTAAGGACGGGGCCCGGCTAAGGCCCGTCCGGCTCCCGCGCACCAAGCGCCTGGAACGAGAAGCCGAAACGACAAAAGCGCCAAAAGCATCGCAGCGCTTTTTTGTCCCGGAGCCTCGCCAGGAGTGCCATCGCGGGTCCGCCACGGGTCTTCGTCGCCATATCCAAGGCCCGCTGCAGCGGCGCCAGCGGCTGGAGGCACTCGGAAGGAATTCGCGGGGGGGGCGAGTGATGTTTGATGTTTGTGCCATTCGACACTGTTGGCTCCTTGTGTCTGTGTGAGAGATCGGCTGTTCAGTCCACCCTGGGCCAAGCCCTCCCTTCTAATGGACGGTGCGGTGGTCGCTGCACTGGCGGCACTATCGGCATCGCTTGGCTCTGCAAGGCCGATCGGCTCCTAACTTCCAGTTTGAGCAACTCTGGAGGTCCGGTAGATGAGTAGATCAAGGACTTCACTTCCATGAACGATTGTGGCAGTGCACAAGCTGCCCAAACCTGCAGCGGAAACTACAGAAAGTTTACTCGGGTCGAGACATGATGAGCTGCGGCCTTTATTTGTCGCGCGAGTGCTCGCTGAGTGTACCTGTTTGCCTCTGCTTCTACAGCCCTTGAGGAATCGCAGAAGGGGCACGACAACAGAACAGCAGGGGTTGCTGGTAGCGCAACACAACAACCCGTGCTGGAGTCAAGACTCATCACGAAGGTCTACCGGGTCTGCTCGACATGTGCACAGTTGCTTGAAGCCGTCACTCTGAAGGTGATGCCACAAATGCCAAATCTGCAGGGTCGAGCAGTCCAAAGCCCTTCAATGCCGCAGCCGTCGTCACGACAGCGAGCAACATGAAAGGCGCGAGTGCTGAGGAACCAGAGGAGAAAGCCGCCGTACGGAGGAGTTCCGGCATGTGGGTGTTGGGCTTAGGAATCCTACCTTTCCTCCCTTCAACATCATCTCGGCCCCTCAAATGGGCGGCTACCTGGTACAGCATCGCTTTAGAGAGGCTCACGCACTGTGCCAACTTGTTTGCGGCGCGAACCTTCAACGACACCGCGGACAAGGCAACATTGGCCATCTTGGCACCCGGAAGCTGCAACTCATCCTCTTGCAGGATGGAGTTCCTCGAAGTCCAGCCCAATTGAGACTAGCATGGATATACAAACGGCCCAAAAAATTGTGTCTTCGGTGCCCAGCGCTGAAAAAAGCCGCCCAAATCAACACAAGCATTTCCAGCGTCTCTATCTAGCCTTCCCAGCAGATGCCGACAATGGCAATCACGAGTCAGAAGCATGCGCGTTGATTTGAGACACTGCTGCAACGGTGGATGCATTCTCCACCATCCCTAGAATGCCGCACAGACACACAAACAAGTGTCCGAGCTTGTTTTGGCCTGGACCAGGACTAGGTCACTAGCTTTGTAAAAAGCAAATGGAGAGAAAGAGCAGTAGTAAGATCAAAGTGTGGTTTGATGCAGGAATCTAGGTGCCGTCTTCCTCTCCACAGCCTGGAAGACCTGCGGCGCAGCTGTCGAAGCCATGTTGAGACAGCCTGGTATCGCTATGCTAAAATGGGATGTGCGGGGCACTTTGTGGTCATCCGAATAGTGAGGATGCAGCGCGTGGCGCCGCCGTCAAGGCCGATGCGAGACGCCCTCGAGGCCAAGGATTTGGCTACTTCTCGGCCCTCTCTGACAAAATCTCTGGAAAGGTGAAACGCACCACTGCTCAGGAGCTTTTCGTGTTATTAGGGCTGCATGACTTCAGAATTGAGCTGGGCGCTTGTTTCTACCTTTAGGCTCCTGAACACAGTGGCAAGGGAGCCAATGTGTTATTGGCTGCTATTTGCCCTCAAGTTGCCTCTTTAGTGGACCACTACCTGCAAGCATGTGTGATTGACAGGAATGGATTGTCAAGGAAATTTGCCGGCGATAAGCCTGCCAGACACATGTGATGTTGCGCTGATTGCTGCATAGCAGCTGCGGCTTCGATCGCATCAAATGCGTTCTCCCAACGTTCGCATTGTTTTCGCGCTCTGAGTATGTGGTGAGATGCATGGGCACAATCGTGGCAACGTGAGTCTGAGATAAACTGAGTATGAAAGCAAACTGTACATCTCGAATCAACATTAAAGAGGAAGTTGCATTTCTGGCAGAAGGCTTGGTGATGGAGCGACCCACGAAGGATATGGACCGAGAAAGCATCATAAGAATTGTGGGGGATGGCGATTAGCCATTCCTGACATTTTATGCTTCGATGCCTCCCTTGAAATCTGGCGGTGAAGGGATTCTGGGCAAAGGTTTGATGGGTTGCTATCGAATCGATCGCGTGTGCTGCCTGTGGCGATGGAGCAGCAGTGGTTTAGGCGTCCAGGATGTGTCTCGTCGAGTGCACGGAGCTCTGTTTCACCCGCTGGCCACCGCCTTGCTGCTAGCGACAGCAGCAGCTGGCATGCGCATAGAGGGCAGATAAACAACTGCACCACTACTCCGTCGCTGCTTCTCAGGCCCATTTCTTTTGCGGGAGGCCTTTAGGCTCTTAGTGCAGATCTGCCTTCTTGAAGAACAGGCAGCAAAGGAAGCCACTCTTGCCTGATGAACTTGATTGCCAAGTGCTCGGAAGGCTTAGACCAGAAAAGGCAACGTTCGGCAATTTCGGGTGCAGTGAGCTGGCCTTTGTCGTCTGCATTACGAACAGCCCTGGCATCTACGGCCTCAGCGAGCTTCCACAGTAGCATGCCATGATCACACTGACAATGGGATGTAATACTTCGTGCCACAACGAGAAGGGCTGGACTGCTTGGAACTGAGGAAGCCACTTTCATCTCCTTATGTCAACTGTCAAGTGCTCTGATGTACTTTGCACACCAATCGAGTCATTCAGATGGCAAGGCTTCCAGTTCTTGGGCCAAGCTTCACCACCCGGGCTGGACTGTCCGTACCTTAGTGCCGCTAAATCCGATTAGCTTGGGGTGCGCGATGATGCCTCAGCCCTGCAACTGATTGAGGGCACCGCTCTGTAGGTTTGTTTTTCCCCAATGCCCCTGCAACGTCAATGTCCTGCAACACTGAGATGTGGAAGATTTCACACATACAAATACCAGGCAGACCGCCGGCTGGTGAAATACAGCAACAAACAGAAGGATGAGGTGACTGATGTCAGAAAACGGGGGCTGATTCTAGGTTGAAGAAGGCTGCCAAACTGGGAAAGAACAACCATGGACATCACGCTTTTCCAGGCCGTGCGGCCATGGTTAGCAGATGCCCTCGCACAGCATGTGCTGACAGACCATCACTACAACGTATATTGTAACGATATGGTAGCGCCAAGCAAGCAGGCACCATCTACTTAGTCCAAAACCTGAAACCCGGCCTCTAGGTCGTCTTCGTCTTTCTTACTGTTCCTTGGCACAAGCTCTTCCCGAGCGGCAGCATCTTCAAAAACGATGTCTACTTCCCATGAGATAGCGGGGGCCCTCGGGCCCTCGGAGGCACATCGAGCTCTATACAAAAACTCCGGGAATCGCATCCCAAGGTCACAGCCGTCCAAGAGTATCCGGAACTGAGATTCCGGCTCCTTCTCCTCGCCCCAAATATCCGAGTCCCTGAAACAGGATGATTTAAGTTTAAGTGGTGCAAGCACGCCACAGTTCTCATGATTCAAGCAAGAATTTAGCGGCAGCTGCTCATTGGCGCGGTTCCTTTGAACTCGAACCCCTTGCTGAGTCCCATGCGAATCGCTGAATCCAGTTCCCGCAGCCCCCTGGTCAACGGCGATGCAAGACAAAACAGCCCGCTGCAGCTGTCTTCGATTCTGCGATCTCCAACTCAGCTTCCGACGTCGCCGAGCCCCTCTGAGGCCACATATCGATTCAGAAGCAGCCTGAAGATGAAGGGTGCGAAGATGGTGGCCTGGCCCCAGTGGTTCGCAAAAATTGGCTGGCATGCCTGCTTGCCACAACACACCCGTGGTTTCTCGTGTGGCTCTTGTGACAGGAAAATACAGGAAACCCAGACACCAAATTCGGAAACTGTGAAGGGCAATTCAGGGATTTGGGAACCACTCGGGCCAACACGGGAACCGAGGGGTCCCAATTCAGGCGCCACACAACGCAGTCCCGCTGTGCGTGGATTGACGTGCGCAATGCCGGCCACCTGCTTCCGGACGTTGCCACGCAAAGTGAAAGCCCCCTTCGGACTAGACCCAAGTGACCCCTGCCCAAGAATGGCAGGGGGGTCCCCTGCGTTGTCTTTGTTTTCGCTTTATCTGTCTTGAGTGTGTCCTCTTGTCGTGTTACCAAAGCAAACCCAAAGGCCGTCCACGAGCTGAAGCCCTAAAGTCGTCCCGAATGTGAATCTTCATGTCAGAGGAAACTATATACGGACATGAGAAGACGCTCTGACTTACAGTCCGCTTTTCACAACACAGCTCGAGTCTAGCCTCCAGCGACATAGGCTCAAAAAGTAAAAAAAGTGGCTGTGATGCCACATGTCGTCAGTTCCTTGCCGACTGATGGATTCGCTTCACAATTGGATTTGGAGGGACCCACTCCCAACAGATCCAGGTGTGGTACACGACACAAGCCGATCATCTGGGAAAGCCTCGCCAAATCAGCATTGTCATGACACCGGCGAATGAGCGCCATGAAGGTCGATGTACCAGATGCCTCGTCTGGCTCGAAATCGGGCGGGTCGCGTGACCATGTTTCGGATCCGCAAATTTGGGGTCGTGTTGAGGGGGCAGGGAGTCTGTGGTTTTTGTCGCCTCGTGCCTTCCAGTCACTTGCCCTCCAGCCAACCACCCACTAGCCAGGTGCTACCGCAAGCCGTCCCAGCCACCACGCTACCAGCCACCACGCTACCAGCCACCGGCGGCCGCCAACAGCCAACACCAGCCACCACCCCGCCGACAGCCACCAGCCACCAGCCACCATCAACCCCCCACCAGTCAGGCATCCGTCACCAGCTACCACCAGCCACCACCAGCCACCACCAGCCACCACCCATTGCAGGCACTCCGCAGACCTGTACCGTGCTCCACCATGCACGCCTGGCCATCTGCAGCCAGAGACGTGGCCAAGGCGATGCGGATGCGCTCCTCGCAAGCACCAAGCCTGGCACCTGGACCAAAGGTCACCGCAGTCCAAACGAGCCCTGGTCAGGATCTGCTCGGAATCGTTACGGATGGATGGTGCAATCGCCCGCTGAGCCCACAAATGCGCCGCCCCGAATGCTGCCGAAGAAACCGGCAATCCCGTAAGCGGGTACTGCCAACGAAGTTCACCACGTTCCTGCAGGCAGCATGCAAAGACCTCGTGGACACGGGCCGATCACACGGGCTCCGTTCCGACGATGGAGGCTGTTAAACCCGAAGCGTGGATGACTCGGAAGAGCGATACCCGAGCCAGGTCGGAGAGCCGAAAGTGCGAAGGGTCCCGTGCAGCCGTGTCCATGACTGCGCGGCAGGCTGCCAAGGCGCGATGTGCCTCCACAGGACTGAAACCCCGAGCCGGGAGTACTGCAACCCTACTCCAAGGGTCCCACCATGGAAACTGCAAGCCGTCATCCAACAAGTATTGCGCCCTGACCTATTGCGCCCTGCACGTGGGCCAAGACATCATCCGGGGCAGGGAGGTGGAATGTCTCGCAAACCTCGATCCACGAGCCCATCCTTCCTTCGGCATCGACCCTGCGCATACAGGCCCTAAAACAACATTGGCCTGGTTGTGAAAACGACATAGGTGTCCACCGCACCAGACTGGGCAGCATCCATGCCCAAAACACAAGAGGTCAAGCCCCACAGCAAAGACTGCACCGGACCGCAAGGCAAACCAAACCTAGAAGTCGCTCCACAGATGAATCCGTAACGTCGTCCCGCAAATGAAACCGTAAAGCGAGGAAGGCAAAGCCAACCCTCAGGTCGTCCCGAAGATGAAACCCGGAAACGAATGGCAGAACAAACCCGAAACTCGCCCCCAACATGAAATTGTCCCGAAAATACAATCCAAAGCGAGGACAGAGCAAACCATAAAGTCGTCCTCCAAAATGAAACCCTGAAGCCGTTCCGAAAATGAGACCCCAAAACGAACGCAAATCTTAACATCGCCCCATGATGAAACCCTAAAGTCGTCCCGAAGTTGAAACTCTAAAGCGAAGCATGCAACCAATCGGCGAATCCTTACAGAAAGGAAAGCAGAGCAGACCCTGTGGATGAAACCGCACATCGTCCCGAAGATGAAGCCTTAACCCCAAAGCCCTGAAGCGAAGAAGGCGGAGCAAACAAAGCAGAGCAAACCAACAAACCGTGACGTCGTCCCGAAGATGAAACCCTGAAGTGGCAAAGCAAATCCTGATGTCGTCCCCAAGATGAAGCCAAGGAGTCGTCCGGAAGATAAAACGCTCAAACGATGGTTGCACAGCAAACCCGGAAGTCGTCCCCAAGATGAAGGAAGGCAGAGCAAACCCTAAAGTCATCCCCAACATGAAGAATCCCGAAATCTGAACTACACAGCCCGTGAACCGTCAACCCAACAGATCGGAATGTACTGTCTCGGTCAGGAATCGGCTGGCCTAGTTTTTGATTCCCGGCTCTTGAATTTCTCGGTTTGGTTCCCGAATTTCCCATCGCAGTTTTCTAATTGAGTTCCCGCCCATCTTGGACTTGCTTGGCCGGGCTGTTCTTCAGCACGGACAAGGAGAAGGAGACGCTTCCCCCGAGCAATGCTCTTTCTTTCAGAAGGATAAAAGGCGCCGCGCAAATCGCTCTTGCTCGCTTGCACAGCGTGTGGGGTCAAGGGCCGAGGACCCCTGAACCCTGCGCAGCGCGCGACGCTGAGTCCAGGTCTGGTTTGTTTGTGAAACCTAGGGCTAAGCAGCGGAGCTGAACCGGCACGCGGTAGGAAAGTCGGGTCCCCCTTTAGATAGCCCTAATACAAGGCGCCCAGCTCCGCAAAACGCTCTTTGCTTTGCTTTGCTCAGGGGCGTAGGAGACAGGCAGTCCCTGGCCTCCCGCCGTGGAGCGGCCGGCTTGGCTGCACTCAAGGTTTGCAGGAATCGAGTGCCCTCGGTAGTAGTTGAGGCCTCAACATCGGCAGATTTCAACCCGCTGACCCATCAGTTCTCTGGGCACTCTGAAACCTGTTAAGGGCTGTGCACACTGGTTTTGACCTTCCGCTCAACCCTGAAGCCTGACTACCGTGGGTGCCCTCTGCTACTCGTCGTTTGCAGCGCAGATGGATAGGGCGTAGGCTAGAGAACTCAGCAGAGTGCACTCTCTGGGCGTGTGCCTGGTCAGTAATGCGCACAGGGTCGTTCACTCCGTAGGGAAAGGGTCGACAAAGCTACAGTAACGCAGACCACTTCAAACTTAGTGCCCGGCCTCTCGTGTGCACTGGTTTGGTGGGCGTGCGCCCTCTGTATGGGCGTGTGCCCTCTGTGTGTACTTAGTATCCCAACCTACCTGCCTGACCCTGCCTTCGCACCGAACTGAAACCTTAGCCCATCACACTGCCTCGACCTTCCACTCAACACAAATCGCTCGCTCTCTCTGCACTTCACTTCACTTCACTGGGGACAGGCTCCAGGAGCCCGCGCCAAGGCGCCCCCATTCCCTCTTCGTGAAGTGGGATGAGGCTTCGGGGCCGAAGTGCTTTGGGCTGTTCCCAAGCGGTCGGTTCAGGTGGTAGCGTCTGCCTGTCGGTCGTCCCCCCTCCCTGAACTTTAACGCGCGTCCCGGCCTCGTCACCGCGCTCTCTACAGCTAAGTCCTTAGCCTTACGACCGGCAGATACCCCCAGCAGTAACAACGGCAGGTAAGCACTTCCCCTTTGCAACAACAGTGACTAGCACAAAACGTTCAGGGGAAGTGTGGGGTTCATAGTGCACAGACAGCATGCGAAATAACACTGGTTCATTCCCCATCACAGGCCGTGTTTAACAGCTACTTCGGATCCCCCGCTTTGGCAGTATGAAGCAACAGCGAGAACAAGCAACCGTGCAAGTAACAAAGACAGGGGGTTCACCTTTCAGGGAGGTGTTGTAGTGTACGGTAACAGTAGGAAAGTGTGGTCCCCCCTGTCGGGGTCCCCCGTACTGTGTCTGAGGTCTGGAAGTTCCCTACATCGGCTGCTTAAAGAGGGTTCACCAGCACTTGCAGGCTGGCTCCCCCCAAGTACGAAATCCCGAACAGGGTTCCTATTCAAAAGCTGAATTGACTGCAGGACTCAATCTCAATGCCGCGTTTTGCAGTGAGTGCACAGAAGGGGGCGTAAACCCCAGGTTGGCAATAGGTTTGATGGCTCCAGCGGCCCGTCAAAAAAATTATGCTTGGCTTCGCAAGCTCACTTGGCGGAAAACTTTGACCTACGCTCACTGCCGCTCAGTGTTGGGCTTCGTCTGGTGGCGTCGCATGTGCTGCTGTACTTGTTGTTGCACTTGCCATTGCAAACTAGGGACCAGCCGAACCTGGCTTTGTCCCCCCGGCTCTCCTTCTGGCTCATTTGGCCTCATCGCTCCCAAACGGCGTTTATGCGGTGGTTCCCCCTCCGGCTCGTTCGGTCTTTGTGACCCAAGTGAGCGCGGTGGTTCACGAGCTTCTCGGTCCCCCTCCTCATCGGCACTGTCATTGGTCTCCGCTTCTTGCGTTCAGGGTGCGCTGGGTGGTGTGGCACTCCCCCAATCGACTTCCTCGATCGGCTCCAGTTTCCCGCGGTGGGCTTCTTCACATACGTCAGTTGTTGCACTAGGCCGGGCTTTTTCCCCCGTTGTGTGCCCCTCCTTTCTCGCATCCACCGTCGCCTCCACATTCTTCTGTGGCTTCTGTGTGGTACTTGGTGTGCGGCTTCCCCCCTTAGCGGAGGTTGCCGCTCCCCTTCTCGCCTTGATCAGCCGTCTTATTCGACGGGCCTTGCCGAGGAGCTTCTTGACTTCCCCCGGGAAGCGGATCATGTAAGCTCGAGTCTCCTGTGCTACGTGTGGGAGGTACTTGCCGGCGATCCTGGCCAGCTTGTCTGCGTGCTTTGCTGTTTGGCATCTTGCTCGGTGCCTTTTTCGAAACTGCTGGTATTCTTCTTGCTCTTTTTCTGTGAAGGGTTCTCCGGAGTGACCATGGCACCATCCCCCTTCTTCTTGGACAACTTCGCGGTCTGCCGCTTTGTCGAGGGGACCGGGCAGGTAGTGTAGTCCGATGTGACATAGGCTGTCATCTGCTCAAAGGGCACGTGCTTGAGTCTTGTGCGGTCTCCTTTTTCCCCTCTTTCTGGCTGCGGTTGGCTTGCCGTGCCTCTGCCGTTCGACCACACTATTGGCTTGTTTCCCCGTGCCTCTGACCCGTAGAACCTGCATTGAAGGTCAGATCTCTCATGGGTCTTCCTCATGCCCTGTTGACACAGTCCTCCTCCTTCTCTGCATATTCTGCAGATTTTCTTGCCTCCTCCTCCTCTTTTCCCCATGTTCTTCACTATCTTCTCGGCCTTGCCAGAGTCACGATCTTCCGGTTCTCAAACTGCCCCGCCCAGCGACAGGGTTGTTCTCGCGATGCTCGTCGGTCTTTTCCCGAAGGTCGTTGGTGCAGACGATTTCCCCCGTCGTGTGCAGAGCGTTCACGAGGAAGATCCTGCAGCCCCTAGGTTGTCGCACTGCAGGTAGTATCACGCACTTGCCGGTCACCTTTATGGCTCGCCCCCTTCAGTGCTAACCTGGTGTCCTTAAGCAATGTGGCGGCAGGTCTTCGACTCAAGCACCGCCGGGGAAAGTGTGCAGGCTCCCCCAAGGTGTACAGCCTTGGGTTAACCCCACACCTCCTTCAAGATGCAAGGAGACGGCACAGGCCTCCGAGCAAGGGTGCAGCACCTGAGCCAAAATAGCTACTCTCTCTCTCTCTCTCTCTCTCTCTCTCCTCGCTGCAGCCGGTTCGTCCTGTCTCGGGAAAGGTCGAACAAAGTCGGAGTGTTTGTCACAACTTGATCATGCGCCCTCTTGACTCTTGACGTAGCCCCGGACTTGAGCAAGAGACGTGAAAAGCAGCATCCTCTGGTGCACTAGGCTCGGAAATGGTGAACCATGCTGTGCTCCTGTCGGCTTTTCCGGGTGGTGCCGGGCTCGACGTACACACCGTCTTCCAGCCGCTCACGGCGACTCTTTCGTTTGGCAGCGCGCAGCGAGAGCGCTGCGAGTGTGCCCGTGTGCCCGCGAGTCCGAGTCCCTGTGATTTCTTCCTTGACGAAGTCTCCGTGTTCTTTCTGCCCTACAAGCGTGCCAGCTCGCGCATAGAGCAGCGCCCAAATCACGATGGAGAAGGTCCTTGGACTTGAAGGATGCGGGAAGACGGTGCGGCTGCATGGCGTGCAAGCGACCGTCCGACCGCAAAAAAAAAAAACAAAGCAGAACAGATGCCTGCACTTATTTGGAGAGCTCCCCTGGCAAAGCCAAGATGCCCTGCATCCAGCATCCCGGCAGAGAGTGCCATTTGCGCGATCAAGTACCTCGCAAGACATCTTCCGCTGCAAGAAACAATCACGGCCGTCTAGCCGGGTGCCGCACGCGAACTCCGCTCGCCCGACCATGGCCCAGCCAATGACCCAGCGTGCTTTGCCCATGAACGGTGCGCAAACGACCTGCAGGCCAACAAGCCCTCTCTGCAGAATACTGGCTCTGGCAATGCTAGAGGTTGCAGCTCGGTCGCACTATATACCCTGCTAAGACTAGGATCTCTAATGCGCATGTTCGAGGGCTCGATGGACCGCCTTTGTTCCAATGCACGCGAAGATCCCCATGATGCTGCCTGCACACCAGGCAACTAGGCAACTGCTCTCCGATGTTCAGTCCGATGTTCAGTCGAGATTTGTTGTGGCAGGGCGGAGAGATTAATAAGCCTGCACACGGACGGACTGCCAGTGAGAAACTAGATATTGAGCTCCAATCTGACGAAAAGCAAGATTGCATTGCGTAAGCTGCGTGAGCTGTTCCCTCACCGTGTACAAACTTTTGAGCATCCCGGCACTGGCCTTTCCAGAAAGCTTCAATAGACATCAACTGCTGCAAGGGGATGGTGAAAGCCACGGTGCCGGCGAAGAAAATGCCTGGAGCATTCCGTCACATGCTCTTGTCGACCTTAAGGTGATCCTCGTGCACAAGCTTCGATCCTAATCATCCACCAATCACAGGCCCCTGGCGGATCATCCAGGAGGTCACACGCTTTGTCTGCTTCACCCAAACCTCGAACAAGCTCCCCGTAACACGTGTGGTCTGCGACACCGTCCGCTGGGGCGCCGGCATGGTGGGCATGATGAGGCGGATGCAAGCAAGCGAAAGACATCCCAGCGATGAAGCATCCCCACCTCAAGGCAGAGACACATTTGCATCACACCTGTGGAAAGCCATCATTCAGTGCAGTCAACACAGCTCTCAGTTTGCGGCAGGTGGGTTCCGAGGAAGTGGGTGATCGTGGCATACACAAACAGCAAAGCCTGAGATCTTCCGGCAAACGAAAGACAACAAGGGATCCGGCACCAGAGCTGATGCCTCTGAACTTGGCAGATTCTTGAAGGACGTGCTTCGAGACGCTCTTTATCGTGGGATGCTCTGAGAGCCAACATGTGATTCGAAACCCTCGGTCATTCAAGCAGGCTGTTGATGTGTTCGCTGAAACTCCTCCGGATTGCCTGGTCAAAGCCCGAACGAACAACACGGCCATGGCCGGATGGAGCCGGGCATCTTGCACATTTACAATGACCATGCGGCGCTCGATGCTGCAGTCTGAGCGTCGCACGAACATGAAGAGAAACAGGGCCTCCATGGCACCACTTTGGATTTGCGACACAGATCGACCAATTGCCACTCGTTGCCTCGTCCTGCGCGGAGATCTTCGCTTGTGCGTCCTTCTTCTTTGGTACCTGCGAAAGTTGAGTAGTGGGGCTGCCCCTGCCACAAGCGCAAACCGGCGCACCCTGGCCAGAATGTATTGGGGGAGGAACTTTGGCCAGAAACTTGGCAGGTCGAGGCCAGAATTGTAGCTCTACTCGCCCAGATGCAGTCACACAGTCACGCTCCCGTTCCAAGGCTCAGACTTAACTGCCAACCACATGGCAAAAAGCATGAAGGCCACTCCAATGATCGGGGCGATCTGGCGGGGCGAGGCGATGCTTCTTAGCCCTCGTCTCACGTTCAGCCCTGATTGACGGTCAATTAAGTCACCGGCCACAGTCTTGAACATGTCGAACTCACCGCCCAAGCCTTGCTTCCCCCCTCTTTGCGCAGTCCCGCAATAGAAACATCTGCAGCTCACGTCGAGCACTCCGAAGCACCAAGAGGAAGGCTGAATAACACGTTGAAGAGCACCAGCGAGAGGATGTCGTCCTCGTTTGTTCAGGGGGCAGTATGCAAACCGAGCGCGTTTTATGCCTTGAAAAATGCAGTGGTGTCAGCCATCCAGCTTCTCAGCTCAGAACCACGAAAGCTGCGGTGATGATGGCCTGCGAAAGGGACCAGGGACGGGACCCCCCATGTCACATGACCGCAGACCAGCGCGTCGCAGCCGCATGCGCGCCCCGGCCTGGCCAAAGTTCTCCTGGAGGACGCCCGCCTCGCCGAGGAGCCGCAAAGCGATGCCCACACCTGGAAGGAGAGCGGAGAGCGGAGGATCTCTGTCTATGCACTTTGCGGCGCACTTGTCGGAGCCAGCGCAGTTCCTGCGGAGATTCCATCTGGCCTAGGGGCTTGCAGAACTTGGAGCTGTTTTCTCTCGTCGCAGTTGAGGCCAGCCGCGTCTGAGACTCTGGCATGAAGGGTCGTCCAAACAGCACCGTCAAAGCGCTACCAACGATCTGCGGCATGGAATTGTCAGTGCTTCCCGTGTTGTAAATTTGCCTTGTGCAGTCGCTGTCGTGGGTTTTTGACTTGGCCATCGACCAGTGGAAGGATCGTGCCGAGGACGGCGACGCAGCAGGCAGGCAGGCCGACGATCTGCCGAAAGATGCAAGCCGCTCACATGATAACATCCCATGACGGTGGGAGTTTACGACACGTGGCTCCCTTTCTTGCATGTACCTGGAGGGAATGAGGGTTTAGGAAGGAGCACGGTGGGGGCCTGCCATGTCGGCAGGGCCGTGCCTTGGCTTTCTCGAAATCGAAGTGCATTCCGCTTTCGAAGATCATCAAGCCAACACCTGAAGACATGGAAGTAGGAAAAGTGTGTGTGTGTGTGTGTCTGTCTGTGTGTGTGTGTGTGTGTGTGTCTGTGTGTGTGTGTGTGTCTGTGTGTGTGTGTGTGTGTCTGTGTCTGTGTGTCTGTGTCTGTGTGTCTGTGTCTGTGTGTCTGTGTCTGTGTGTCTGTGTGTGTGTGTGTGTCTGTGTGTGTGTGTGTCTGTGTGTGTGTCTGTGTGTGTGTCTTTGTGTGTGTCTGTGTGTGTGTCTGTGTCTGTGTGTGTGTGTCTGTGTGTGTGTCTGTGTGTGTGTCTGTGTGTGTGTCTGTGTGTGTGTCTGTGTGTGTGTGTGTGTGTCTGTGTGTGTGTCTGTGTGTGTGTCTGTGTGTGTGTCTGTGTGTGTGTCTGTGTGTCTCTGTGTGTCTCTGTGTGTGTGTGTGTGTGTCTGTGTGTGTGTCTGTGTGTGTGTCTCTGTGTGTGTCTCTGTGTGTGTCTCTGTGTGTGTGTCTCTGTGTGTGTCTCTGTGTGTGTCTCTGTGTGTGTCTCTGTCTGTGTGTGTGTCTCTGTGTGTCTCTGTGTGTCTCTGTGTGTGTGTCTCTGTGTGTGTCTCTGTGTGTGTGTGTGTGTGTGTCTCTGTGTGTGTGTGTCTGTGTGTGTGTCTGTGTGTGTGTGTGTCTGTGTGTGTCTCTGTGTGTGTGTCTGTGTGTGTCTGTGTGTGTCTCTGTGTGTGTGTGTGTGTCTCTGTGTGTGTGTGTGTGTCTCTCTCTCTGCGTGGGTGTCTCTTCAGCACCCTCACTGCTCTGCCTGCATGGCCGATCAAGGTGAAGAAGTCGGGGAAGCTGCCACAGCTCTCCGACACTTCCTGGCGCTCAGGGGCCATTTCTATGGGGGACCAAGTCACCACATTCAGCAACCACTGAATTGAAGGAAAGAAGTGGCGATAAGCTCACAGCTTAGATGTCTTGAACCGCTGGATTGCTTACATGACAAGCATGCGACGGCAGTCATGCTCGCACTCTTTCACCAAGCACTCAGAGTAGCTGTGGTAGTGGCCTCGGGAAAGGGGATCACGTCCAGAGTTTCGCAGACAGAAGAAACCGGAACCATTCCATGTTCAAGACAATCATCATGCGCGCCCGAGGCTGAGCCGCGCCCAGCTGGGAGCCGGACCACCAGACAGCCGCCTGCAGCATCATGCGACAAGAGCTCACATTCCACATACCATGCCATGCTCGAACTACCGCAGCATTTTTGGTCCCCTGCTAGCCCTGTTGTCTTGCTTCTTGTTTTTTCTTCTTCTTCTTCGCTTTGTTCCTGTTCTTCGCTATTGCTTTACGTTTTTGGTCTTTCTGCTGTGCTTGTCTGTCTTTGTGGATTTCTTGTTTTTGGCTCTTGCTCCCTGCCGTCCGCTTTTTGCGCGTTGCTGTTGCTGGAGGTTTCGGGTTTGTGTCCTCTGGGTTCGTGTTGTCCAAGGTTCAGACACGGGTAATTGAAAGATGTCGGTTGCTCCTACGCCCCCACCCCCGAGCCCCGCTGTTAAGTCCAGGATTGGGGCCTTCGGGTTCGTGCCACTGCTGCACAGTCTGCAGCAAAGTTAGAAAGACATGCAAAAGCAGTCACGAAGATGCCAACAACACTACAGTAGCAATCACAAGCGTAAAAACACCTTGCTGTAAGAAACGAACCACTAAAGACTGTCTGCAGAGTCGACTGTACTACTGTCATCCTTGAGGGGCGTTTCCTTGGCAGGTATGCTTGGGGTGAAGGGCAAGCAGACTGCCAGTTGGATTTCGTGCCATTGCCGCCCCACAGGCTTCACCGATGTACTTTGCCGCACTACAAACCCACAAAACCACAAGACCGAACCTCTGTGTCGGAATTCCCAACTAGCCGTAGCGAATCCATATCCAAGAACAAGCAAGGACCGCAGAGATTGGAGTACATTCATTCGTGGTTTGAAGAAACAGAACCTTGCAAGTGGGAATTTCCCAGTCCATGATTTGCCGTAAGAGGGATATTCAAGCTCGAAGAATCGCTGCGCTTCGCCCTTTTCGAATGCCTGTGCAACAATACTCAGTTCCATACCCAAGGTTGGAGGGCATATCAGCTCAGAGGGGTGGATCAGCACAATGCGGCGATCGGGTCAGGGAAATCGGCTCAGACAACACACGAAAGGCAGCATCGGCTCGGTGTTGTTTTGCACTGGTTTTGTAGGAAGTGCAAGACATGTTTGCAGGATGAAGACTGAAGAAATTTGACGGCATGAAATGGGACTTGAGAGCCACGGGGTGGGACGAAAGCTCTAGCATGGGCAGGGCTGGCGACACGGAGATCACACGAAGAGACACAGAACTGCACCGTTGAAGCTCGCCGCAGCTATTTTTCACACGGCAACACTGGCGGGAGCAGTTTTGATCCACCTGTTCCCCGAGAACCAGAGTCACACGTGCCCACACACTTGAGGTAATGAAGCTGCAAGAGCAAGCCTGCATCGCGGCAGACACAAAGATGCGGAGAACAACGCTGGCGGGAGCAGTTGTGATCCAACATGTCAACAAAACCAACTCTGATCCAAGAGATTAACTCCTTGCCAGACATAGACAGGCGGTCATGTTGCGACATGTAAAGCAGGTTTTGACCCAACGTACCAACCCTTTGCCGAACATAGACAGACAGGCATGTTGCAGCGTGTCTAGAACGCTTTCCCCGAGAGCCAAACTCACACACACTTGCGGTCATGAAGCTGCAGGAGCAAGCCCGCATCGCGGCAGATACAAAGATGCAGAGAACAACGCTGGCGGGAGCAGTTGTGATCCAACATGTCAGCAAAAGCAACTTTGATCCAAGAGATTAACTCCTTGCCAGACATAGACAGACAGTCATGTTGCGACATGTAAAGCAGGTTTTGACCCAACATGTCAACCCTTTGCCAAACATAGACAGACAGACATGTTGCAGCTTGTCTAGAACGCTCTTCCCCGAGAGCCAAACTCACGCGCCCCCACACACTTGCGGTCATGAAACTGCGGGAGCAAGCCCGCATCGCGGCAGACAAACGTTGCAAAGACAACACTGGCGGGAGCAGTTGTGATCCAACATGTCAACAAAAGCAACTTTGATCCAAGAGATTGACTCCTTGCCAGACATAAACAGACAGTCATGTTGCGACATGTGAAGCAGGTTTTGACCCAATGTACCAACTCTTTGCCAAACATAGACAGACAGACATGTTGCAGCACGCCTGGAACAAGACGCGCCCACACACTTGCAGTCATGAAGCTGCAGGAGCAAGCCCGCATCGCAGAAGAGACAAGATGCAGAGAACAGCAGGCTGGAGCAGTTCTGATCCAACATGTCAACAAGAGCAGCTTTGATCCAAGAGATTAACTCCTTGCCAGACAAAGATGGACAGTCATGTTGCGACATGTGTAGCGGTTTTGATCCAACATGTCATTTCCCAACATACCAACTCTTTGCCAAACATATACAGACAGACAGACAAACATGTTGCAGCACGCCTAGAGCAAGAATGTCAGACACGCACGCACAACGTGGCCACGAGACGACCAGCATCAGCAGCACACGAGCAGCATCAGCAGCATCAGCCGACGCACCCAGGCCAGCATCAGCAGCATCATCAGAGGCCTGTTTTTCCTTTGGACTCTTTGGACGTCTAAAAAAATCACTTACCCAAAAGGACCGAAATCTGGCCCAAAACAGGCCCCCTTGGCAACGACGGTTTTCCCAGCTCCAGGTGGGGGATAGCCGAAAAAAACCCACCAAAGTCAAGCCACCCCAACCACTTTCGTGATGAATTTCATCGCCTGCGAGGGCCAAGGCTTCTTCCACCCTGGTGCATGACTCCGGCCCAGAGCTCATCTTTGAGATATTCCGAGGGTTCGGGGCTCAGTAGTTCTGATCCTGTGCTGCGATCCGATTGGCCATGCGGATTCCAAGGCCTGATTCGAGCCCTTCCCGAGCTGACTCCTGCAGCTTCCCCATACCATACCAAACTAAGAGCTGGACGAAACCGTGCGTTCACCGCGCGAGCATGACAGAGGGATGACCGAAACGCCAGTAGAACCGTCTCGGGAGAAGGCTTTTACGAGGCACGATTTCGAACTTTGGCGAATTCGAAAACCCTGTAGGGGCGGTAGGACTTCCAGACGACACCAACAGGGCCTCCGAGGAACCGTTGCCCTGCTGGGACATTGACGTCGACGATTTCGAGCGATCTGTAAAGGAAAACTGGCACGGAAGTGGCGGCTCATTCAAGTAGTGCCAAAGTGGTGGATCTCAAGTCAGGTCGCGAGAATACACGATCACGACAGCCCGTGTTGGACGCTACGTGGTGGAAATGCTGATCAGCGGCGAAATTACACACCAAGTTGATGCTGGAAATAAGGCGAACAGCGAACAAACATTGATCAAACTTCCGAATTTGCCGCGGACGACAGCGTTTTGGCTCGTTTTGCACTGTCAGAAGTCAATCACCATGTAGACGCAAGACACCTGGCACATCGCAGCAAACAGCAAGTCAAAACCAGCCATTCCCCATGCAGACGCTGGACTTCGCAGGCTGCAAGTACTGCCGCTGGTAAACGAGGCTGTGACCACATGTAGTTCGGTTCTCTGCGGACGCGGCCGGCCAGTGGGCCGTGGAAGGAAGGCGATGGTTGCAACATGAGCGACGCGGCGCGGCGCTCCCGAAGCTGCAGAGAAGCCAAAGAAAAAAAGCAAGCAAAGCAACATACAGTAGCGAAGGGAAAACACACACACACACACACACACACAATTTTTTTCAATTTTAGGTGCCATCCCCAAGCGCCTGTGACTCGAGCCATGTCCACCTCAGCATCTAAGAATCAGGAGTTCTGGCATCGACGGAAGAGTCCCACGGAGGATCCGAGGCATGCTCGAACTTCTGAGCCTACGCCTGCAAGGCTCGGCTCCAGGCTTTCGTGGCTGTCGCTCGCGTGGCTGTCGCTGGCGTGGCTGTCGGAGTGGCCTTCATGCAGCATGCAAGTCTTGATCAACCTCCACAAGCCGCACTTCGCACTCCTGCTTTTCCGACATCGTCAAACAGAACCACGCTCACAATTCGGGCCACTTTGTGCAGAGGCATCGCTCTCGTGGAGTCTCCCTGCAATCTCTGCCACAGTCTACATGTTGCTCCCAATCGCGCATCAGCGATCGGGAAAGTACTGGCGCCCATGCTGTGCATCAAACAACACGTCCTAAAAACAATCAACACAACGTGCCTGCTGCATGGCTTCCGTCGTCCATGGGCATTGCAGCTTCATGCTCGCTGCTGTGTTCTCCATCGCTGTGGTCGGACGCATGCGCATCCTAACAAAAACAGCGAGCATGCTGCCGATGCGAAAAAGGTGCAACGTGGAGTAGCAACGCCTCCATCGGCTGTGCCCCGCCAACATAGTCAACGGTCATGTTGAACAAGCCGCTGCCCTGGGTGAGCGATGGTCCTCGCTGTCTCCCTTCACCAGTGAGATGCTCAGGCAAAGACGTGGCTGCCATGGCCGTGGTCTCCATGAGCTGGGCACAACGGAGGCCATACCGCCACACCCATACTGGTATGTTTACAGACAAACGGCAAAAGGTCCATGTCCTTCAGCTGAGCACCGGGCAATAGTCTGCAGGATTGCAGACATCCATGCCGGCAATTCTTCCCAATGTCTCGGCAACAGGGCCAAGGGGAAATCATTCAGGTGCTCTGGGACTCAACCAGCCCCAGTGAACAGAGTGGTCACTGCAAAACAAGTCCCCACTGTAAGCGAAAAGTCCCGGAGAATGAGCGCTGCGCCGGTCCCAAAGGCAGTCCGTGCCTGGGCAAGACAGGAAGGAGCTTGTTTACTGCTTGGGAGATCACTTGACGTTGTAACGCCGGGCATGGATGGGGTCATGAGCCGAATATGAGCCCAGGTTCGCGATGCGATGTTCCAAATCGTCTGGCGCAGTGCAGTCATCAACTCGCTTGGTCTCGCAAACCTCGGGTACATATCCGATAATGCACTTGTCAACAGCTAGCAGCATGTTGCAGCGGGACAGTGCCTTAGCTGGCTTAGCTAAGACTGGAACGGTGTAGACAGGATCGACCAAGCCGAAACCCCTGCGGCAATAGGCGGCAATGCTAACTCAGAAAGCTCCCGCCACATGGACCGACTGACTCTCAGACGAACTTTGCACCTGGGGCCAAGAGCAACTCCGACAGTGATCTCCAGGACGATGGAGGAAATCCTAACGGACGCACGACGGACAGGAGCCGCGGCTTGCCATGAAAAGCGGATAAAGCCCCTTGTCTTCGCTGAGTCCCGTGCCCCAACAGCCGGGAGACTTTGCTGGCTGTCCATGCGGCCCTGTCAAGACATGTTATGCCGTTATGCCCGCATGGGTTCAGGACAAGGAAATGTCTCACTTGGCATTTTGGGGGGCAGCGATGTTCAAGAATTGATGCGAACTAGCGATTGGTTGACAACTGGCCAAAAACTTTCGGTGCTTGGCAGCAGGTGCCCAGCTCAACAAAAAGGGCTAGCCGCATGCCGCCTTGTTGGTGTCTCAATGCTTCGCTAGACCCCGCGATGCCCCTCTGAGTGCCCTTGCCCAAGGAAGCCCGCGATGCTCAACATCGCGATGTAGCTGCTAGCGCCTGAGACTTGCGAGCAGCTGGAAGCCAATGCTGCGGCCTAGCATGCTTCCCATTTGCCTCCCATGGTGGCAAGAGTAGAAGGACCTGGCAGGATTGGACTCGCTGTCGAAAGGACAGGTCAGCCATTGCCAGCACATGCCACAGGGAACGCCACGTTGCGCCTCGACTTTGGAGGGAGACGGCAACGTTTTAGTCAAGTCCTGCCAGGCTCGCAGCGAGTACAATGATTCTAAAGGCCGAATCCCACGCTTTGCTGCTGCGCCCCTTCTCTACACACCCGAAGGCCCTGGGTATCGGTCCTGAAGTCAGGAATCCACGGGCACAACTTCTGTCGGAGCCGGTACGGCAGCACACAGCAGACTTACCGCTCAGATGGTCTGTCGAACATCAGACGCATGCTTCGATGCGACGCCAAGTATCTCCATAGTCCTCTGCTTTCGCAAAATGCAGGCCAGGCATGTATTTCTCCGAGACTGCGACACACTGCACTAACTGAATCGACGAACATGCCTTCGCTGGCAGTGTGATCAGCACGGCCCATGTTGGACTATGTCTGCACTGTGCACAGAGTTGTATTCCCGATTCCGCAACGGAGGTGCACGTACACCGTCTGGTCAGTCGCCCCTCTCAGAATGAGCAGCCGACCTCGCGTCTCGCGTCCAGGAGATTTCACAAGCTTTCCTCTCACTGCCGTTCCGGACAGCAGCCCTGCTGAGATGGTGGCAGGTGCTGCACGGATCCCAAGTCTTGGCCTTGAGGCCCTGGCACTGGGCGGCACACGCTTGGAGCACTCCGCAGCCCGTAGGCGTCCTGCCACCCCTCCCAAGCACAGTGTACGCAAATGCAGTGATGGCGCTTGGCAGTTTACGCGAAGTCTGGGTGCACAAGGAGATGTGAGGTCCGTTCAGGTCATACTGTACTCTATACGAGTTTATGTACATCGCTAGTCCCAGACGAGGTGCAAATAAACATGCATCCAGCACCAAGAACTTTAGAGAGAGCGGCTGTTCCAACGGCTTTCCAAAACAGAAGCTCTCCGAGCACTCCTAGCAGCCAAGCACCGCGAGTGTGTCGTGTTTTGAACGCAGATGAATTGCATCGCGCGCAGTCAAAAAGACTGTCGACTGGCTACGACTGCCAGACGAATTTCAGTTATGAACCTGCTGCAATTCTGCAGTGGCTGCAGACGTCTGAGCTGCTGTGCAGCTTTCTGGCACAGGTAGAGGTTCGGATCAGGTCTTAACTGCTCATTCAGTTGGAGCCAGAAAACTAACACCCATGCCAAAAGATGTTCAAAGCTGTGAATCTGACCGTCTGCCATTATGGCGAAGATCAGATGGCCACAAATACCCACAAACACTGACTGAGTGTGCTCTCCAGGAGGCACAAAAGCCTGGCTAACCCTGCTCGGCCGGAATTTGATTAACTTGTAATCTATGGCATGCAGAGTTAGCAGGGACATGGTGCCACGAGATGAAAGAAGCACGACTGCCGCCCGCACCGTGGCTCCGCGAAGCGTGCATCTTAAGCTCCTCAGGAACCTCAGGTGTGCGTCGGCAAGCTGTTTGGGAAACACTGGACATCCCGGCTTGCAGATCGGGACAGGCAAGAGAGTGACGCAAAGTGGGTGAGCCGCACGAGGAGCAGAGGGGCAGGACGGGGACACAAAGGCAATGATAGCTTTGGTACATTCCAACCGGTTCAGGCATGATTCCTGAACCCACTCTCAACGCTTTGAACAGAAAAGTTCACTTCGAGGCTGCATTGCTACGCTTCAAGCAAACAAGGGAACAGCTGAGCTTTCATCGCAAGGCGAAGAGACATGCTCAAAAAACAAAGATGATCATGCAATGTTAACGGATGACCAAATCCCAAGCCTCAATGCAAAAATGTCAAGCATGACCAGCATGGCCATGAGAATTCTGGACGGCACCGTTCCATCTTTGCGTCTGTGAGGGTTTCCGACCATGGCCATCGCAGATGTGTGTGCAAGGCATGGCGGCATTTGACAAGGCAGAGCCCAACCCCAGGCCAGGACGAGAAGCCGACCTAAGCGTGTAAAAAAACCTGCGTGTTTCCTTCTCAGATCTGCCCAGGCACAAGGTTTCAGGAGCCCGCAACTGGAGTTGCTAACAGGTCGTGGAAGGCAGTACTGTCGTGAAGGGCGGCGGAGCTGGCGCCTGCAGCCTTGGTGGTCACGATGTAGCTGGACTGCTCCTTCTTACCGTTGCCGCAGTGTTGCAGAATGGAGAAGACCTGGAGTGTCCTGAATGTCTTTGCTGCTCTGCATGCCAAAACGCACCATCCCTCGACCTGATGCGCTTGAGCATCTGATCAGGAGGAAGGTCCTTTCAGCTGGGATCGGCTTGTTGGAAGCTTGCCTAAACCAGCAAAGAACCAACCTTGAAGGCTTGCCAGCAGTGCACCAGATGTGACGCAGAGCGTCCGGCAGGCACGAACATGGTGGGCAAGAAGTACTGAACGAAGGAATCGACAGTTACCATGCAGGCCAAGCATCTGTGTTGATCACCGTCTGATTCATCTCGTGTATGAAGTAGCGCGCATAGATAACCTTAGCCAAGTGTCGTATCAGAGCATGCCTATGCAGCATCGTTCGGCAATTGCACATCCAAGCATTGGCTGGCGACTGGGCCCTTGTCGGATTTGCCAAAAAAGGACGCCAAAATCGCTGTATTTGCAGGGCCGGAATGCATGAGGGCATGTCTTGGCATCACCCGTTCAAAAACCACAACTCCCTAAACTTTGGGCTTTCTAGTCACCGGTTTGGGGCTCTGGGAAAGCTGTTCGAAGAGCTTTCATGTGCCTGCCAGATCGAGTGCCAGAAATGCTGCATCCAAGCCCAAATGCATTATCCAGGCTCCCCCAGAATGAATTTGCACATTCCATGTAGCAAACATGGACGTCATCACCCACCCACCCCACCACCCCACCTCCCTAGCACCGAAAAAAAACAAAGAGGCAACCCTTAAAAAACGGAGCCTGGAACATGCAAAGACGCGCTACGCGTTCCTTGCGCCGTTTGAGTGGGGGAAGCAAAACAGACACATCGAGCCACCATTTTCATGCAACTGTGAAATCTGCCGAATCCGTCGTGCAGGCCACGTTTTCATGCAAGCCACACATAGACAACATGAAGCTTCAACGGCATGGCCCTAGGCATCCCGGGTTTAAGGATTTAGGGTTTAGGGAGCGGACGGCTAGAAGAGTCTCTTCAAAAACGTCCGGCGTCGAATGCATGTTTGGAGGCTGAGAGATATCCAGCCTGGTTTTCCATAGGACGATCATTGGCGAACGAAGCAAAGTACACGGACAACAGCAGCAGAAGCTAGCCGCGCACACTGAACGACACACCAGGAAGCCCAAGACGGAGCTGCTGCTGAGCAACAACATCGCAGAATGTCGGCAAATCCTCGACGGGACGAGACGCACACAAATGACGCGCTATGACGCGCTAGTGCACGACCGGAGCGCCCACACCCGCATGTTACACATGCATCTCGTTGGCTCCTGCTGCACCACGCGGCCAAAGTCCTCGCTCTTGATTGTCAGAATCTGCGAGTCCTGGGCTGTAAGAACGACTTCGTCCAACAAAACCTGTTCTATCTCTCAATGAAATGGCATTCACTGAATTGTCAAGCGGCTGTTGTCCCAGAGAGGCGACCGGTGTGTTGCCACGAAGTCCTTCCCAGGATTCAACCAGCTTTGCGATGCTCTGCCAAATCCCAATCCATCCCACTCCCACTCCCCTGGTTCTGATTTGGTGCATCATCTATTCGCTTATTGATGCCGTCGAATCTTGGCGGCCTCGCGCATTGCCGTTTTCTACATGGCGGGGTTGGAGGGCAAGACATTGTTCCGGCCCTGCATACCGACTCGGGTACGACTTCGTCGATATTGAGTATAGGATTCGTTTGCCGCCAGACGCGTCAAGGCGGTTGCAAGCTCAACCGGCCTTGAAACATTTCTACAGGACGGCAGGAAACGGATGCGACTGCGTTCTACCAAGCAATCTTCATGGAGACTTCTGCAGAACGACGTGGGCAACCAGACTTGATCTGAGACGTCTTGATAGATGCCAAGGTGCCAAAGGGCATGCTCGCTGATCCACGACCCCGACAACAGTTCCAGAGACGAATCCTTGCTTGTTTCGTCCAAACGGGCGCAAGCTCCAGGATAGCAGTTGCAGCCCAACAACTGCTACGACAACCAGCCAGATGCAGCGATTCCGGACCAAAACACTTTGTTCAGGATCTTCAGCAGACCAGGCACTCGATTCTTGTTCAAGCCCTCGTGAGGCATCACCTGGTTCCGGTTCCGGCTCGATGACCGGCAACAGCCTAAGCTACAAAGGGAAAAGGAAAAGGAAGAGAGATGCATTTCCTTTTCGCAGCTTGGACTGAGTTTTATGTGCAACGACTGACTGCCTGGAGGCATGAAAGCACATGGAAGTCCGTTTCTCCGCCAACAACGGAGTTCAACATCAAGAAGCTGCGTCCATGTTGGCAGGGTACTGCACACGGAGTTGGAAGCCTACTCCCGTGCGGAAGACCTTCGACTTTGAGCAGAGGCGAGAAAATCTTGCAGCCAGGTCGCAGAGGCGCTCACTGACCGTCTCTTTGTGAATCGAGTCTCTCCCTGCCATGAAATCTTTTGAGGAGCTGCGAAGTGCTGGGAGCCCGGGTGTAGTCACGGTAGATCGGAACATGCACCCGGACTCTCCCCCCGGAATCTGGCAGACTAAAGCCATGGGGGAAGTGTTTCTTGGTATCTCAGACGCTTCCGAGGCGAAGGCAAACAGCGAACAGCCCGACTGTCAATCATTCGCGAATGGAGCGAAAAAGGAGCACTGCCGCCCTCGCCTCCAGCCATCTCCACGTCCATGGAGTATCGCAGCTTCCCAGACTCACACATGTACATGCCTGAGGGGTTCAGCCGTGACCAGAGCTCGTAGGAAGTGCCGCAAATCTGAAAATGCTGCGCTCAAAGCAGACCACGTGAGGCTCGATAATTACGAACGTTTCGCATGCGGACTAGGAGCCATAAAGTAGGATATCCTTCAAACTCATGCTTGGCAAAAGTGATGTTTGTCTTCAACAGGCTAGAGTCTGGAAGCGACCGCACCGACTTCGAAGATTGCATCGCCTGCCAGAATATGCTGCCTGAGCGCAAGGAGCATTAATCATTAGTCGTGCGAAGCATACGAGGCGACAGGCTAGTGCTGCAAGGGAGCTCGTGCACAGCCTCATAGCCTGGCACAGGAGAATCAATTACCTATTCAGCCCGACAGCATGCGTGTACCGGCGTACCGGGCCCCACGTCCTCCTTGCAAGGACCTTCGACGTGACACCTGGTGGCCGCCAGGCGGCAGAGGTCTTCCATTGCATGGCTCGAAGATATCTTGATCTTCGAGAAGAGGTCGTGGTGAACCAGCGTGGGGGTCCTGCGACTGTCAAGGGTTGCTGAAAGCAGCTGGTAATCACCATCCTGATACCAGAGGCTTAGGAAACCGGACGCCGATGCAGCGGAAACTCCCATCAAGCGGCAAGCGCAGACTGGAGACCTTCAACCCAAAACCCTCCAGCAATCCAACAACAAGCAAAAACACGAATGCCTTGACCCTCTGCCGCTCTGCCGCAGGCTTGGGAAATTTAGGAAAGACAGGGAAGCACTCCTGGCCATGAGAGACTTTGGGCTCTGAACCCTGAATGAAGCCTTTAGCCCTGAAGCCCCAAACCCAAACACGATGTAACCTTGAACAGCTGTCATTGACAGGGTCTTGCTTTTGCACAATGTCCGGCGTAAGTAGCCTTCATTCACTGAAAGCTCAGCAGCCACCGAAACCTGCATGAGGCGGAAAGCCGTCCTCGCCGTGTGATACCTGAACTGAAATGCCAGTGGAATTCGCAGAATACGCGAAGACATCATCGCACGGCTGAGAAACATGCAGTGCGTTGCAGTGCATTGCAGTTGGGGGCTTTCCCTCCCTCTCCTTCTGCTGTCGGGAGGCAGCACGCGGAGCAGCTCCTCCGGCAACGCCGCCTCCAGGACCTGCGCACGGCGCGAAAGCGACGCCGCGGCTCACCTGCTGTGCGCATGTGCACGCCGGCGGCGCTTGCTGCTTCTGTGCCTGAAGGCTGGCCTTCCACTTCACCCGCTCCTGCGAGATGACCGCCCTTCTGCCCGCTTGACTTTTGCAACTGCGATCACGCGGATCTGTCAACAAATGCGGGTGTTCTAGGATTCGTGATTCAATCATGCAAACCCACTAGATATGAAATCCACAAAACAAAGGGAGTTGATCCGCAGCCAGGTCAAACACACTGTTAACTGCGAAGCCCGAAACTGCAAAGCTCTTATCTAAAATGCTGGCCTGTCTGAAAGCTAGAGGTGGTCCCAAAAGCTACCTCGCAACTGATTGAGGCCTACTGCCTACTGCATCATTGGCCCTGATGCCCAGCTCCTCTTCTCGTTCCTGGGCTGCATATCAGAACTTCAACAGCCTGCAGCAGCCTGCACCTCCTGACGAGCCGGGCATCAATGTACTTCTTCAGCCGGACAGTAAGGGCCGCATTGATGCGATGCGTGGCTGCATAGTCGCCTTGAGCGCAACTCTTTGCAAAGGCATTTTCAAGCCTCAAGCACGCAGATCGCTCTTCGCAACTCGCAACTCGCAACTGTCGCAGCTGCGGAATGCGAGTCGACTTCTAGCCGGTGCTTTCGCTCTGCCCTCACCAAACTTAAGTGCACCCGAGACTCTGATGGCTCCCAGCTTTCTGCTCCGTTCTTTCCTCCGTCCGTGCTCGACAACAGTACTCTCAAATCTCACGAGCCTTGGAGCCCTGGAGCCTTCTTGGGCCTTGCAAAAACGCCCTTGAAACTGCTGACCGAGCCATGAGATCTTGTGCAAAGCTGTCGAAACAGACAGTCTCAGTGCCTGAACTCCGGACAGGTTGTCATGTGAATTGAACCAGGATCTTCTCTGCTTCCATGGCTCCACATGCGCGCCAACTTGGCCATCGTGTTTGTCACATAACCTCAGAAGCCACAGTCAATAGTCAATAGAGACACATGGCACCCGGGGATTTCTTGCTGAGAGCAGCTGATGAAAATCGATGAGAACAGGAGTGATCCGAAGCTGGCGACCTGTCGGGACGCGGACCGGACCACTGGACCACTCCCCAAGTCCCGGCACATGCACCATGCATGAGATAGCACAGTAAGATTCCGACGAGCGAGAACATTCGCTCTTGCGGCAGACGCAGCTTCCTGGGCTGAGATGCGCGGTATGTGCGCTACCAGCAAGCTTCCCTCTGCACACAACCCGAGGGGCATGTTGTCTCGAAGTGAAATCGGATGCAACCTGCTCAGTCACTGCTCAGGTGATATCAAGATGTCTGTGCACCGCTGAGGCCCGCCTCGACAGTGACCACTGCATGCTCTGGAGATACGTGGTTCCTCCCAGCGACCAGCAAACCGTCCAGCACGTTCTTTTTGGCATCTCTCAGTACACAAGCACACCGAAATTCAACAGAAATTGAACCGATCTGGCAGACCTTGGAATAGTGGTAGCGTGGTGGCTGAATCCATGCGGGGTCCTAGATCCTGGCCGTACAGTCCTTCAGTGTAGACCCATCCTTCTTCCTGGCCAGGTTCAGTATGCACCAGATCTCCTTGTGCTTTCTGCCTTCCAGCCTCAAGACTCTACTCTCAAGCTTAGAACATCCGCGTCTTCTGCAACAGCTGATCTCCATGAGCAGCTGCATTCATCTCTGCACAGCTTGAGACTTGAAAACTAGCAAAGCACGGGCCTCGCTACCAAGCCAATACCAAACCTCACGGGGAATCCATGGAGCATTGCTCAGCAAGCATGAGCAGGCTGAGCAGGCTCAGGGGACCCAGTCTGTTCCAAAGACATGGAGAGGCTTGGGAGATTCCCGCGGCATGGTCCGAAGCCCAAGGCACGCATGCGAGGACATGGGTCAGCAGCATCGTCGAAACGAAAAGCTGGACGACATTGATCATGAAAGTGACCTTGGCTCAAGTCCGCATCTGAATCGAAGTGTGAAGCCTGAGGCAGCCCGAGGCTTCCCCGAGCCAACTGCTCCGGCACTTCAGCCTAGCAGCAATTTCTCCTGCCATCCGCTGCTTCAAGTCATCGAAGAGGCGCTTCCTTGAGTAGCAAAGCTGAACCCTTGGCCTTCCAGAGGTCCTTGCAAATGCCCTCATGCTGCTGATCCAAACCCCCCACATCGGCAAGATGCAGCTTGACAACACGCAGCAAGCGTGCCAAACGCAACATCCGAAGAATCCGTCCAGTCCTGCGTGCATCAGAATTGGGGGGGGGCGCAGGCCGGGCGTAGCCACATCTGCTCGAATGGTGTAAGAAGTGTTGTAGATGCACTCAACTCAAGCAGCCACACCTCATCGTTCTGGCCAACGTCAGAGTGTCAGCAGAGTTCATGTTTGCAACTGTCGCAACCCAATCCACACTCACCTCGGAAGCCAGCGATAACATGCAAGTCCTGGCAAAAAAAACAGACACAGAGAGAGAGAGAGGGAGAGACAGACAGAGACAGAGATAGAGATGGAGATGGAGACAGAGACAGACAGCCAGCCAGGCAGGAGAGACAGACAGAGGTGGCAGGCAGGAGGAAGGGAGAGCAGGAAAAGGGAGAGGGAGAGAGAGAGGGTACAGAGGAAGTAGTGGACACCGCCCATTATGCTGCTTATGCATCCCTAAGCATGACTCTCGCACCAGAACTGGTGAAGCAACCTCAAGAAACTCACCATGAAGCAGGCAAGCCACAAGCAAGAAGTCGATGGGCATCCATGTCCTCGAATACCTTGATCCATAGGTCAAGCTGCTGAAAACTTACCGCAGCTGGTAAAGTCTGAAAAACAGCTCTGGTCAGCTGGGTAGCTGGGTCGATGCCTTTTGCAGATCGGTACGCACGTGCTGGCAAGGCACGTGTACAGAATAAGATAATAGCTCGTCACCAGCTTCCCGTTCCGGTATGTTGCAGTCAGCATGGACACCGGGATGTCAACCGTCCAGTAGATGGTGCAAGCCATCTGGGCCAGTGCTTTCGATGGGTGGTTGGGAGCTACCACCGAAAAAGAATCCACGACAGATTTAGGTTGGCTTCAGTCTTTCGAAACCATCATTCAGCTGACGCAACATCAGATACATTACTTTGCTACTTGCTCCACTTAAATTCGGCATTATGCTCACATCAGCGTCTACATCTGCATGCTCGCATCCATTGCTTGTCCAACTGTTGTCCCTGTTCTGTTCGTTCCACACGCAAGCCTGTGGAACGAGCTCTGAAGCGACGAGCGAAGGGGGGGGGGCATGTCAAGCCCTGGATTGGCCATTAGCTCAAGCTCCGGATGCGAGAATGGCATCTCTTGAAGGCAACGCACTGTGGATTGATCAAGAGTAATTCTTGATTGCATTGGTGGGCAGCAGATTTCTGCAATGACTTGCATTTCGCAGGTCGATTATTAGACCTCGCTGTGTGTCTCCTTCTTCATTCCCAAGGCAAGACGGATAGGGGAGTAGGGGAGTCTGTGTCTCCTTGACTTCTCTCTGAGTGAAACTAAACCGAGTCTGATAGGAAGGGGCCTATGATATGCATATCTTAGTAACTTAGTGACTTTACCTATGCTTGCTGTTGAACTGTGAGCAGGCAGCTGCCAAATAGACCCCATCTTTATTTTCTCTCACATGGCCTCGGACCTAGGGCCCTTCCAGCAGTAAAGAGATGGAGAAACGCGTCCGGGAAGGCACCGGGTACCGTCATACACTTGACCCGATTTGCCGAAACCCGTGGCAAATGCAACCTGCGTTGCAATAGCATTGGGAATACAACTGACATTCATAACTTCAAGAACATTAACCATCTGAACAACTTCCCGGAAAGATTTCGCCCTGTAGTACTGTCAGTACAGCTTATATCAACACTGGCCCCATTCATCATTCTGCCAGTATTCCAAAACTGTCACAGTCACGTGACTTGCACATCATGTTGCCAACATGAACGATATGAGCAGCTGTAATGCTAATCCTAACTTTCAATCACTGAACGTGTCAGGACCAATAGCATGAAATCACTCATGGTATCCAAAACTTAGCAGCGGCTGAAGAGGACGCCGAGAAGCAAGCAACACGAGCACTTCCTGTCTCTTTAACAACATCCCCAATGGTGATTAGTAATCCTGTACAGATGCCGGACAGACAGCTAGTCGTAAGGCCGGCACCCCCATGGCGGATGTAAAAATGGTGTCAGGTATATCGAAGACCTTGGCATTCGAGCAGGAGTCAGCTTCCTCCTCCTTTTCACCGCTGCCGGCTAGCAGGACTTTGCAACTCGCGACTGGATCTCTTTGCATTGGGCATCTTTGCTTCGTGCTTCAAATCGCACACGCTGAGGAAGCTGCCATCATGGGAGTGACAACCTGAACTCGCGAAGAGAGGACAACGCATGTCAAAAACACACCTATTGGCGGGATAGGACAGGATGTGTGAGAAGCTGCTGGGAGTGCACACAGCTTAGATACGAGCGACTTACAAAGCGATACACCCAGCATGGGCTGACGGCTAGGTGTAGACGAAGGAGAACTGTGCGTCCTTTCATTCCTCAAACCTGCCTTGCCAAGAGCTGCATGCGAATTTCCCATGTCGTGACTCGGCTTTGTTTACAAGGTCAGCTCGCGTCACCATATTCTGCACCCCACTTCAAGCGTGAACACTGATAGGCCAAGAAGCCATGTCGAAGAGGAGCAAAACCATTGCCAGTAGATCCTCGTGCTATTGACTGGGACTAGTAAGGAAGACTGTTGCAGCGCTCTGGCTCTGAGGAACTAAAGACAGGGGAGATAGCGGTTTTATTGGCTAGAAGGCAAGTCCACTACCGCAAAACAGTGAATGTCAGAGGTTCTTCAGCTGCTGCCATGTCTCCCAAACGAGACGCCTCTTGGAAGACCTAGGCGGTGCTTGTCAAAAGGGCATCTGGCGCTGCACTGGCTCGAAAGAATATTAACATAAGTCTGGACTGCAAATCTATGATGCACCTCTTTTTGAAGCCTGACATCGGATTTTCTGAGCAATCGGCGGGTGGATTGGAAACAGCTGCCAGGAATTCAACATGCGCTCCTCCTTCACCTGCCACACTCTGAGAATCAGGCGCGCGCTGCGGTGAAACTTCATGCATGCCCGCCTCCGCAGGTGTGGGTCCCTGCTCGGAGGCTGCCGAAGCCACATGCTTCACATTGTACCCAGCTACCTGACAAATAAGCAGATTCAAAGCCATAAGCCATGTGGCACGCGTTCGCTGGAAACAAAGTAAACTTTCCGGACACGGGGTTCAAAGCCGACAACGAAGAAAATGCGAGGTGCGAGCTCTGAGCTCTGCTTTGTGATGCACCTCCGCTTCATGTCCTCGGCAGGCCATTTATGAGCATTTTGGGTCTCCCGTATCGGGCTCATCAGGGACAGGTGAATCATTCTGACATGGATCCCGACATCATTCGGGATGGACAATGGCTTGCACAAACAAGTTTCCTGCTGCTGGATGATATCATGCGATATCTGTGTTCCTTTGCAGCACGACGCGTTTCGCGGTTTCCCTCATTGGCCATATTGACATGATTCAACGAGCTCTTCGTCACCGATATCGAAGCTCGCTCGCAGCTGGAAGCGGTCCACCTTGCCAAACAGCTCGTCTTGCCGAAACTAAACAATCACGGCATCCTGCTTGGCAGTTGCTACACATCAAGGTCACTTTACTGTCACTTTCTTGTTCATCCGCAGTCTGCCACTTGGCGTTTGTGCTCCTCAGGTAGCCTGCACGCAAAACAAACTCCAATCCCTTGGTCTTGGCTGTTGGACCTTGCGAAACATTGGCGATGTTGTTAGCAAGATGATTATTCGTCGCACGCCGTCGCTGAACAGGCTTTGCCGCACCTCCACTGTGGCCTCTTTTCGGACCGCCTCCTCGAAAGCAGCTGCGTCTCCTAGCTGAGCACCAGCACCAGACTCTCCACAAGGCCATAAATATGCTCCGGATGAAACGCGGCTGAGCTGCTCATGGCCAAAGCTACCCTGTCCGTTGCTGAGATACTCTGACGTCGCTCCATCAACCTTCGATGCAACACCAGGAAAAAGCCCTTGGAAAAAGCTTCCAAAGAACTCTCTCCTACTATCCTTGGAGTCTGCTTCTTCTTTGCCGGCACTGAAATCATGCAGCATCTTTGGTGCCACGAAAACTCTTGGTACGACCCCGGCAACTACAACACACTCCATGGCACGGCAAAACTCCTCCATCCTGGCTGGCCCGATACATGCATGATCAAGTGTGGTTGCAGCCAAGCAACGCCTGCCGCACTGTCCTAAAGTCGGAGCCAACACAGCAAAGTCGTGACAACTCCACCGTTTACCGAACTCAACGAGCATGACAGAAACTAACCAGCTTTTGGAAGTGCAGCTGCATGGATATCCCGGGACAGCAAATACTAGTAGCAAGATGCAAGGTGAAGAAGGCCATCCAGCTATGGAACCGTTAAAAAAAAACGATAGAACGAGGCCATCACAGAGCTTCACGTCCAAGGGGCGCTGACTCTCTCTCTTCGGAGACCCGACGTTCGGTCGTGTGACCCAGACGCCGCGCGAGCAGAAACTTGTGCACCACGGGCGCCAAGCGGCCTTTGAGCCTCGCGCAGAGGAGGAGAGTGGAGGATGCTCCGATGCTCGGTGCGGCGAGCTTTTCGTGTCCGCTCGCCGGCGCCTCTTCTCGGGCGAGCCCGGGCTGGGGCCGGAGCTTCGCACCTGGCAGCGCAGGAAGTGCAGATCGGCTGTGCGGATCGGCTGATCGAATCTCGCCGCGCCTCCGTCTGCGGAGGGCAGCTTGCCGCCGAAGGCTCCACTGTCACGGAATGGGCTTGGAGTTCCCGCATGTGCACCTGTCCGATAGTGGAAAGCAGAAACTCTGACATGTTCGCGGCTGCTCAGAATGCTTAGACACCCAGTGCTGCCTCCAAGAGCCTTGTCTGTAACGTCCCCAGTTCGGCAATCAGATCCTGTCATGAACAGCGAGGAGGCTTTGCTGTAAGAATGGTGCAGTCAACATGAAAAGAAAAGCACAGCTTGTCTAGTTACTTCAGCCCTGGAAGTGGAAGGCCACAGAAGTGCCACGGAAGTGCCATCATGTAAGCCATCAGAAGCCCTGAGGGCGGGGTTTTCGGTGCCTGGAAAGTCTTCGGCTCGGGCTCCTCGTGGCGCGGGTCTCGGCCCGAGGCCGAGGCGTCGGCCGCCTCCGAAACCGAAGAGCGAAAGAGCGAAAGAGCGAAAGAGCGAGAGACAGAGAGAGAGAGAGAGAGAGAGAGAGCATTTGCGAGGCATGCGAGGAGGCCCTTCGAAAACTCGCTCTTGCTCTCTAAGGCGTGGAAAGCCGGTGGGTGGTTCTTGCGGCCCTCTCATGACAAGGCAGACGGATGGCAGGGAAGTCCCACAGGATGCTGTACTTTGCATCTCCTCAAACCCCGACATGCCCTGGACAGCTCCCGCCATGATGCTGCAGGAGCTTGAAGATGCCTGGCAACAAATCGAAAACAACTCTTACACAGCCACCAAGCTACCAATTCACTAAAGGGTCACTAATGCTAACAAAGGCCGAAGGCTGTTGAATTTCAAGACTAGACAGCATAGGTAGGATGCGGGCTCGACTACAGCTGCAGCTGCGGGAAAGCTTCGAGGCTACGACAACTGGCCGTGCATAAGGCCTTGAACTAGAGCGAACATCTGTCAAAGACATGTCGGAAGTCAAGAAGCAGTCAAAATCAAAGCAACATGCGACGTTGTCGTATGTGATGCGGTGGATCACAGGGCATACATGATGGAGCCACGGCAAAACCAAAGGAGCTCCAAGCAGCACCTCGACATCGTTCTCGTCCTCATCGTCAGCGTCCCGTTTTGGAGCTGGCTCCTCAGCACATGTTTGTTTGCCGGGGCCTTAGGGGGACGCCTGCGCAAGCACAATGGCAGAAACGTGGGAGTTCCTGGACATGAGATTCGCCCACTGGAACAACCATTTACGAACCGAGGCAGCGGATTTGCATACAAACGATGTGCGGAGTGACTCGAAGGGCACGGAGAAATCTATAGTAAAAGCTCCAGATTTGAGCACTCTCGCCCAGCCGCTTGTCAGCAGCTCCAGCGGATTCCCAGCGATTTTGGGGATTAATCACGATTAATCCTGCACTTGAGATGCCGAGCATCCAAGCAACCTGACACTGAAAGCCGCAAGCCCCCTACGGCCTGAACCTTGAGACCTGAGACCGTGGACCGAATAAATCCGCAAGCCTAAGCCCTAAACCCGGAAGCATCGAAGCCCTAGAGCTCTAAAGTGCTAAGCATTAAACCCTGAACGCCTTCGGCTCTCCTTGCCTGCATCCCCCTAACCCTAAAACCCGAAAATCTCTGAACCCCGAATCGCGCAAACGGCGGTGGTGGAGCCGGTGGCATAATTGGTTCGCAGGTACTGCAATGGCGCGTGCTCGAGTTACAGCTGCTTGAACCGCGGGTGCTCGAATCGTCTCGAATCGCAGTGCTGGAATCAAATCTGAGATGCAGAATGTGATTCTGCCTACAAGACCTTGTCGCAGAGAAACACCGATGCCCTCAAAATGTGTCATGAACAGAGTTCATCTTGCACTTTCCTGGCTTGTGCTGACTCGGTCGAACGTTCAATCGGTAGCGAACACAAAAAGGGATAAGGTTTGATTGTCTGAACAGAATGGCGGCACTTGCGTCATAAGGGCTGCGGCCGAGAGAAGAGGCACAAGAACGCATGAACAGGACGAAAGAGCAACGTTGCCGCAAGGCACAAGATATCCCAACCCTCCGCCGCGGCCCCCTGGAAGGCCGTATCATGATGTAGGCGTCCACCCACAGACTTTCGTAGATTGCACGTTCAACCATGGCAGCCCTTTCTCTTCTTGGTGGATTCCCTTTATCTCTCCTCCTTTCTGTGGGGCTATCTCGGCCTCCGTCACCTCCTTGCTCGCTTCCTCGCTTCCTCGCTTCCTCTTGCTCACGTGTCTTGCTGTTGCCTCATGTCTTCTTTGCACTCGCAGCGGTCGCGGGATCTCCGCAGTCTGAAGATGTCATAGGGCCATAGGACAGAAACATGCGAACCAGGTCGAACGACACTTCCAGCTCCAGGGGCCCCAGCCGTCCGAGCTCTCGGGGCCTGCGCAGCCGCCGCCATGCTTACGATGTGCTTACATGTGCGACGCAGAGACGACTCTGCCAGGACGCTGCACTGCTTGACGAGGTGTATAAGCAACCTTACCATACTGTCACACTGTCCTCCCAGGGGTTTTGTGGGGCTGTTGCTCATTTGGTTTGCTGCTGGTGGGCTTTCTGGGCTTGCATGCCCCTCTTGAGCACCAGGTGACTGCCTGAAATTTTTTCCGAGCAGATGTCTCGGCACGAGAAACATGGTGCATCCGCCACTTGCAGACTGCGGAGCACCCCACATCAGCCCCGCATCGAAAGGCTTTGCAACTTCCGAGGCCACAAACATTCGAGTGAACTCGGAGCCTTTCAGTACTTGTGGGTCCTGGCTCACCATGATGAACAGAGCCAGAAATGCTCGCCTGCCATCACAAGCGTGGTGCCGGTCAGACGAAGCCTACGTCCACCACCGAATTCGGCTGAGCTTCCTTACGAAAAGGCAGGTGGAGGTCGATGGTCATTCGAGCCTACTCCGTCTTTGTGCTGGGTAGTAACAGCGGGTTGTAATGGATCTTTGGTGCCAGAATGTAGTCTGAAACCATGGCAATGCCACGCCACGGCCAGGTGCCTGCAAAAAAAAGTCGAGAGCACAAGTGACAGGAATGAGTCGTCCATGCACATCTCACTCGGCTCATACCTCGTCAAGCATGACGGGCCTTCGATTCTTTGGATGCAGCGGTGCGGCTGTGCTCCTGGCACACGGCGTTGAGTCAGAGAGCCAAGATCTGTGCTTCCCAACACTTGTGGGGGATGGCAAACAAGCATATCAATGAAGTGCTTTGTAATTACTCCTTGCATATCACACGAAGACTGGATGACAAATTCCACAGTTACAGCTGATTGTGTGTAAGCTTGCAAAACATCCAAGGACTAGGGCCAGGGTGCTGGGCTGACATAGCAGCGGCGATCCGCATCTGTTCAGAACAAACTCTCGATCTGGAATTCAGCGCCAATCTTTCTTCTGACACGCATGGGCACTGTTGAATTTCAATCCAAAGAAGGTCATCCTGATTCTGGCCTTCAGCCAGCTTGGCACGAGCTGTCCTCGCATCGAAACTCAACGTGTGAGCTTCCGTAACAGAGACTGTTGCCTGTGTGCGTGTCTACATTAGTCTATATGTGCACTCATGCTGTGTATGTATGTATGTATGAATGAACGAATGCGGTGTGGTAGCATCATCCTACCTGGCCGTGGGCAGACAACCAAAAGCAAGGGCCCCCGCAAGCTCAGCTAGCTCCAGCGGCGAGCCGTCCTCAGCCAGCCACTCGGCCCGCCGAGTTGACAGAAGCAGCGTCCCACCATGCCTTCTGGAAAGGCCCTGACAAGTGCAGGGAGCGTTTCGTGATAGCAGATATCAGCAGACTAATGACTAAAGTATACGGAACCCGCTCTGGACAAGCCTGCGAGACATGGTAGGCTTCAAAGAATACAACCCGGCAGAAAGAAACTTCAGGGAGACGTTTGCAGTCCGAATGCCTTCAAACAAATGACATCTGAAGCGGGAAAGCTGGGCGTTGCCTGGCGCAAGTTTTTCAAAGCCAACTCATCCAGGAATTGCCTAACCACAGACACTCTGGAGAAAGGTCAACAAGTGTTCTTATAAAGCTGGAGAGGCACGGTGAACCGTCGATGTTGGAGATGAAGAGCACCTTGTTGCTGCTCTAGGTTGGGATGGGCAAAGAGGCAGACATAAGTCTTCCGGCTGACTGCAAAGATGCGACAGGGCCAGAGGTCCAAGCTTTGGTTTGTCTCTTGAGCGTCGGGCTGTCGATCCATCAGTTGGATGCATGTTTTTCAAGTTCTTCCGCTGAAAAGACAGCGAGCCAGATGCGCGGAGATCCATCAACAACGCACGGAGTCGACAGTAGCCTTGCCACAGCGACAGCACTTTCCGCTCGACTATGGTCACAGGCACGTACTTTCAACTTGTTGTGCTGCCGCCATGATGCTCCTTTCCTCCTTCAGCCAACCGCACTCGTTTATGTGGAAGGCCTCATTCTTCTGGCCACCCAGGCGCCTGCCAGGTACCGAGACTGTCTGTCCACTTTGCTACTCACGCTGTCGCATGAATGCTTTCCGAGTCTTCTTTGTGGTGTTTCTCTGCTTTTGGTCTCCGGCACATGGACAGCTGACTCCTGTTGAGCTGGTTCTGCAGTTATCTCGCTGCTGTGATGGCACGGCGGCAAGCTGTTGTTCTCTGCCGTTTGAACAACTGTTCTTCTGAAACGGAAGTGTTGCGGACCAAAAAAACCCGTGTCAATTCAAGTCCTTGCTAACGCCGATTGACACATACGTTCCAAAACCTTCCCGCCGTGCTACACCGTCAACCCGGCTTACGACATGCATCAGACAGATATCCCATTGCTGAACAGCTTGCTTACAAGGTTCTTGACATACAAACGCATTCGTACAAAGAGAGGCTGCTGGAAGGAGAATCCATGCAAAGCGCATGGAACCATCCAGAGCTCTTTCCAACACAAAGCCAGTAAAGTTCTGAAATCCAAGCGAATGCGTCAATCTGCTGTAGACAAGCGATCAGACTAAAAGCCATTCCAAGAACTAAGATGCATTCAAGATCTTATGAAACGAAGCCCACACCACTGACGGGTGCGAAGGGATGGCATTCAATTCATGGCACACCGTGTAACAACGGTTGCCGTACAACCCCAAGACCCAACCCGCCTCTGCGACTTTGTCAGGGAAGTAACACAATTCCTCCTCTTTGGAAGCTTCTCGCGTTGCCTCAGCACGCAAGACGCCAAGGGAACTCAGCACTCTCTCACTTGTCCAAGGCGCCCGAACGATGGCCAGGCCACTGGCCAACCGCATGGTGCGGAGATGCAAGTAAACACCGTCCGATAGAGTCCTGAACCACAATTTTAGACAGAACTCGAACGAAAAACTCCAGCACACACCCGCCTTGCAACTTGGCCGGCAGCTGACATGCGATCCTGGTTGATGCAAACGAACATAAATTGTGTTCGCACCTACAGCCACCCTACCAAGAAGGACGGAGACGTTGCCGCCGTTCGTCCATTCCATGGGACTCATAGATGCACCATGTGTGGCCGAACGGACGGACAAGTGGATAGATGGCGGACGGTAGGACGCATTGACACGCGGGTGCACCGAGAAGCTTTACTGACACGGACAAACGAATGGACGGGCGGACCAGCATGCAAACCGGCCTCTTCTTTGCGATGTCCAAACGATGTTTCCGAGATGACACTTGAGTGCGGCATTGATTCGTTGTCCCTGGCCCCGAACTGCACAAAGGGTTTCTTTTCATCCTGGCCCATGTGGCCCATCCACTGCGTCTCCGAACCTGGGGCTCCTGGGACCCTTCAGATCATGGGAGCGGCCGAGAAATTACCGCACCGCACCATGCCCGAAGCCTGAGCTCCGCTCGAAGACTCGATGTCTCTGTCCACCGGCAAATCGAGAAAGTCCATCATGTTTGAAGCCTTGGCGGACTGCGGCACTGGGCACTGCACAAGGATAATGGAGCCGCAACCGGCTTCGATGTCTCAATTGTCAAAAAGGCGCTCCAAGCACTCTGCCGAACTTCCTCTCCGAGCGCCCGAAGAGGGACCTGAGATCGCAGGCACCGGGGGTGACATGGCATGGCTGGCGCCAAACGCTTTGGTTGCAGACGGGATTCGCCAGGAAGGCATCACGAGAACTCGCCAGACACAGGAGCTCCAGGATCAGCTCGCCGTAGAGCAGCTGTGTCCGGTTGATGTCGAAAAGCGTGACTTTTCGAACCCCAACCTGCAGACCGCTTTCATCCCTCCGTCGAGTCAGCATAAAGTCTGCTGTCTGCTGCTAGTGGAGGCAGTGCCTGGGCCTTGGAAAGGGCTTCGAGGCTGTCGAAGCCACTGAGGCCTCCGACAACGGAGCGAAAGTCCTCCACGGGGCCTCCTGCTCAGGTGCAGGCAGTGCATCGGGCCTCGAGCAGAAGCATGCAGTCACGCAGTTGCTCCTGGCCATGTCCGCAGAAGCCGCCGACAAGTTGCTGCACGCACTGAGGCTGCCTCCACGAGAACAACAAACAAGAGAACGGGATGGACGGCAAAACAATTGGAGCACCGGCTTGACCTGATTTCGGGAGGAGATGCATGCCAAAGAATCACGCATGCACCACTACGTACATACAGACAGACAAACAGACAGAGGCACAGACGCACGGACAGACGGACATACAGACATACCGACATACCGACACACAAACATACGTACACACAAATACATGGACTCCCACGATGAGCCGCCCTGGATCCTTCACAATTCCGATCAATGTGATTTCGGCCCGGGGACTTCTGTGATGCTTAATCAAAAGATTCACCGACCTCTTTGCGCCGAGTCTTCCAGCTTCGTCAATGCCTGCCTCCGTGCAGGCAATGTACGGTGGGCGGTTCGGAACAGGATGCTGCTTCGCAGCCTGGCATCTGGGATGCACTGTACCGTTCAGACTTTGCATACTGCTGTCGCCCATCTTCACCCCTGATATGGGTTTCAAAACAGATTGAGGACCTCGCGCCACATCAAGAAGCGCTCTTCGAACCCTGCGCTTACCTCGACGCACGAATCGCACAGGCTGTTGCCGTTGCCAGATGAAGGATGCACACGTCTGATTTGCCGGATTGCAGTCAGCTGCTGTGTCAGTCAGGTGTTTGCCGGTTCTAGTTGCTGCTCCTACGCAGCTGCACTCCTGCTGGGCACGAAGCCAGTCTTTGAAAGATATCCGCCGAGGCCAAAGGCCTCTGGCGTTTTGATGGTTAATACTAAGTAACCCCTGCACCCCAAAATGCAAACTTCCACCCGCTTTTAGCGCCTGTTTTCGACCCCCTTGCCCGGTTTCCTTCCTGCCACCCGTGATTTTCACAATTTCCCACCTTCCCCCCCCTCCTCCCCTCGTTGCTGATTTTTTCTGTTTCCACCTGGTCTGGCTTCCCCCCTGCCCCAGCTCCCCCCCCCGGCCGCCCCCCCCTCCCCCCCAAGCTGGCCCTTCCCCCCCTTCCAAGCGTTCTTCCTTTCTTTTCCTCATTTTTCCACCCCACTGCTTTCCCCCTCCTTCTGCCCCACTTCCTTTTTCTCTTTCTTATCCATCTCTTGCCACTTTTCCATCTTCCCGCTGCTTTCCACCTCCCACCCTTCCTTCTTGTCCTTCGCTCGTGTTTTTTTTCCATTGCTTACTTCCCGGCCCACTTCTCTTGTCTTCCTTTTTTTCTACCCTGTCGTTTCTTCTTCCAAGCGTTCCTCTTCCACGTTCTTTGCCTTCTTCTTCTTTTTCCACCTGTCCGCTGCTTTCCGGCCCCAAGCTCCCTCCTTCTCTTTCCCCTTTTTCCTGCCCCACTTCCTTCTTTTCTGTCCATTTCTACCACTTTTCCTTCTTCCCCCGCTACTTTTCCATCTTCCCGCCGTTTCCATCTTCCCGATGCTTTCGCTCGCGTGTTTTTTCCAATGCTCTTCTCCTTCGGTTCTCCTTGCCCCTTCCTGCCCTGTTCTGACTTTTGCCCCATACGTCCTTCTACGCTTTCCGTCCTTCCTTCCTGTGCTTCGTTCGCGTGCTTGTTTCTTCAGTGTTTTTCCCCTTTGGTTTCCTTGCTTCCTCGTTGAAGTTTCTTCGTTTTCCTGTTTTGTTGCTCCAGCTGCTTCTGACTTGCTGTCTGGTATTCTGTTCCTTCTTCCTTGTCTTCGCGGCGTGACTGCTGACAGCAGCGTAAATGAGCATCTCCGACAAGCATGTCAGCAAAACCAAGGACACACTGCAAAGGCTGCAATTTCGCTGCGCTCAGACGTTTCAACTGCAGCTGCAGTTGCTGGTATTCAGCAAATGTCACACCGGTTTTCTGGCATCCCGCTTTTAGCGCTTGTTTTCGACCTCCTTGCCCGGCTTCCGTCCTGCCACCCGTGATTTTCACCCTTTCTCACCTTCCCACCCCCTACCCCTCAATTTGTTGATAATTTCGACCCCCCCCCCTGTGCCCCCGCCCCCCGGGCGGGCCCTACCCTGCCTTCCAAGCGTTCTTCCTTCCCTTTCGTCCTGTTTCGCCACTTTCCATCTTCCCGCTGCTTTCCATCTCCCACCCTTCCTTCCTGTCCTTCGCTCGCTTCCCTCTTTTCTTTGTCCATCTTTTACCACTTTTCCTTCTTCCCCCGCTGCTTTTCCATCTTCCCGCCTTTTCCATCTTCCCGCTGCTTTCGCTCGTGTGTTTTTTCCATTGTTCTTCTCCTTCGGTTCTCCTTGCCCCTTCCTGCCCTATTCTCACTTTTGCCCCATGCGTCCTTCTACACTTTCCATCCTTCCTTCCTGTGCTTAGTTCGCGTGCTTGTTTCTTCAGCGTTTTTCCCCTTTGGTTTCCTTGCTTCCTCCTTAACGTTCCTTCGTTTTCCTGCTTTGTTCCTGCCCTGCTCTCACTTTTGCCCCCCGCGTCCTTCAACACTTTCCGTCCTTCCTTCCTGTGCTTCGTTCGCGCGTTCCTGTTTTGTTGCTCCAGCTGCTTCTGACCGTCCTTGCCCTTTTCTCCTTTTTCCATCTTCCCGCTGCTTTCCTGCCCCAAGCTCCCTCCTTCCCCTTGCTCCTCTTCCTTCTGCCCCACTTCCTTCTTTTCCTTGTCCATCATTTACCACTTTTCCATCTTCCCCCACCACGTTTTCATCTTCCCGCCTTTTCCATCTTCCCGCTGCTTTCGCGCGCGTGTTTTTTCCATTCCTCTTCCCCTTCGGTTCTCCTTGCCCCTTCCTGCCCTGGGCGCCGCTGCTGGCACTACTGGAGCCGCCAGCCGAGGCGGGCCGCGTAGCAGTAGAATGAAGGAGGTGCATGACAGTTTGCGAGCCAAACACAACGGCTTCGCCAAACTCTTCCAAGGCACCGAAGCCAGCGGAAGCGATCTCTCCAATGAGAGCGGCCGGCCCAGCCATGCAATGGCCCAGGCCCCAGCCCAAAGAACCTGCGGGAAAGTGTCTTGTTTTGGCCATCTCATGAGTGTCTGACGAAGCAAACGTTACCGGCACCTGCACCACACTGGTGGCATGCAAACGGGATCGACGACACATCTGCCCAGCCATGACCATCCATGGCACAAGTCAGAGAAGACTAAGTACAAACAGTGAGACTTCCCGACACTTCTGGAGCTTCACGTCAATCAAGGCACGTGCTGAACAAGAGAAAGATTCGAAAATAGGGCATAAACGGTGTCGCTTGAGTCTGGTCCACTCTGACACTGCCGATCGTGCGGCTTCACTGTCCCGGCAAGGACACTGGGAAGTTGTAGGATGCGATTTCAACTTGGCTTCGCCTTGAAAACCCTGCGAGGCATGACAGACATGCACTATCTCACTCCCGGCTGTGTGGTCTCAGCAGCTCCAACTGACATTCCCGACTTGATTGCCATGGGTGCGCGGAAGCTTTTGTTCTGATCCAGTAGCAACCTACCGGCTGCGGGTGCCAAATGCGCATGGTCCATTGCTCGGACTGCCGTGAATCTTTGAGCCAATTCGAGACCCACAATCCCAAAATGCTATGCAAACCTGGTTGCAACGGCAGAAGCAGCTCAGAGGTCGAACAGCCTCACGGACGAAAACTTGAGACCCAGGCAGGAAAAGCGACCCGCACAGGGTGCTCCTGAGACTCTACTTCCTTCAGGGTGGGATTCCTCCAGTGCGGGAATACCGCCACCTCAAATCAGTTGAACATTCCACAAGTGAAGTTTCAACTTCCACCTGTGTTTGCAAGCCTGATGCTTCAAGGCTCCAATGAAACGGCGCCCGAGCCTCCTAGCTCGAAGCCGAATCGGATTTGCAGGATTTCAGACATGGCTCTGCCACAAGTACCTGGCGGCCTGAACATCTGCTTCTCAACCTGGGTGTGCCGACTATGTGTACCTCGGTGCAATGGGCAAACGGCTGACACCAGACCCTAATTGCCATGATAAGCAGGCATGAGTCAGTACTGTCGGTTCCCACGCCTCCACCATACCTGTACTGCCTCTGCCTAATGTAAGCACCAAGAAGCAAAGTGGTAAGTACTTGTGCAGCAACGGCCAGCACAAATAAGCACTTCCCAGCATTACCTTGGACGTCAGCCAATGCTTAGCAACCCATGACACTCAATCAAATGCAATGCAAACTGCCAAGGACAAGGACGCGAGCTGGATCAAGGCCGTGGATCAACACAGTCGCACTCGTCTTACAATGGATGAAAAACCATTATGACACGGTTCACAGTCCTATCCCCTATCCTCATTTGCTAAGCCGCAAAGCCCTATATCTTCGATGCCGGCTTCACGAACTGCTTGGGATCACATTGCCGAACTTCGAGTCGAGTCGTGACTGCTTTACCATCACGGGGGTAATTTGAGTTTTGTCCTACTGCTGGCAGAAGCCTCAGCACCGGTAGGCCAAGTTGCTAGCACTCAAAGACGGATTTTCGCTGATCATCCGCACAGCGCCGCGCATGGCCAAAAGAAGGAGCAGCCTGCACACATTGACTGCTTCGGCAAAACGTGCTTCAGTATCAGTCGAATCGCGGACTCTTTCCAGGTGGGTGTGAAGCTTGGCGTTTTGAGCAACCCTGAACAGTGAATACAAAGAAGGAACAGCAAAGTCGTAATGGTCATTTGTTGCGCACAAACACAGCCAAGGCGGACGGCGAATTTTGAATTGTCTCCGAAGTTGTGGTGGCTAGCTGTATCAACCGATGCACGAGCATGCTGAAAGGTCGCACCATAAAGATAGCAAGTGTGACCGGCTCTAAATTCACAGAGGTATCGGCGTCTGGTAATGAAACGGCTCTTTACAAATAAGTCTGCTTGCTCTTGCGGGAAGAGACACTGGAGCATCCCGAGGGCCCAAAACAGAATCTTGCGAGGAGCTGCTTGCGGATGCGAATGTTTCTAAGTCTGGTCTTTGGTTGCGGCTTTCACGAAGCGGCCAGGCGGCCATAGCGTAATTGTGATCTGACGAGGTCTTGCCACTTGCGTTTTCAGGGTTCATGCTGCGGGTACGAGCTCTCATTCATGCTCTACACTGTACACGAACTTGACATCGCATGCAGAAACGCGACGCTGCGTACCGAAAAGACAATGGGTACGCCAGCACAGCTCTAACAGACGTCATTCTGTGGTGCGACCATGATAGAACACGCCCCGGCATGCTCATGGCAGTTGCGTTAAGGTCCAATCGGCTGCGATGAAAAGTTTCAACTCTGCCAAGTGACGTGACATATATCTTGAGGCCTATGGGCAGGTCCTTGTAGCCTCAATGGAACGAAATCATTGTCACCGAGCTACCGCAACTGCGTCTTGCATCATCCCTCCAGCACTTCAAGCAAGTCACATGCGAGGGAAGGGCAGCACGTTCCACGCGTATTGTAAGATACCTTCGCTCTGCTTACAGATTTGCTGAGTGCCGCAGGATAGTGTACATGCCGTTGCTGATCTACCGGATCGGTTTACCCCAGCCAATAGGGGCTTTATAATAGCTCTATTGCACAGATCAGGCGTCGTGAAAGCTTCTTTGGCCTGTTTCGCCTGACACTTGCTGCGCCTGCATGCAGCACCTACTGGTTTTGGCAGGACTGCAACATTTACCACATTTAGGACCAGGCGGGACCGAAACCTGATCATCGCGGCACATCCCTATCCTAAAGTGTTCAAAATTCTGCTGCAAGGGGCCAACTGCATTTCCTTGGCTACCTTTGGCTTGTTGGTTCAATGCAAAAGCTGTATTTGAACAACTATTGGGCCGGGGACTCGCCCAATCCAACCTGTTAAGGCACCGTTAGGCCTCAGTAGTCGGCATCGTGTCACCACGTCTTTGGCTTGCTCGTCGATAAACGAATCAGCAACACCTAGACACAAACTGCTGAAACTGCACGAGGTAAAGATCTACGAGGTCGAGGCTTGAGGCCGCTGAGGGTTATTGAAGTTGATCGTGATCTCTCTCCCGAACAACACACCAGCTTGCAGCAGTGCCACACAATCCGGTGGCTGTGCCGGTGGCGCGACACGCACGTACGAATCAAAGATGCCTGGTCAGGAACGGTTTGACCCTCATCCTTGTTTGGCTACTCCGTCCCCGAAGCGGAAACTCCAACGTTAATTTGGCGCACGGGAACACTGTCTTCCAGGGTTTGTCTGTGGATCAGGGAAGAGCTGTTGAGGAGCTGGCTCAGGCCTGATGGTATGCACAGGCACCCTCGAACTTTCCCCAAAAAAGCATTGGCCACCTAACTAAGCTTGCATAGAATCAAACGTTTCACTTCATGGCTTCTTTCCAACTGTCTTGACTGTTTCTAAGACGCCTGGAATCAGCTGCACGTTTGACATCCCCAATCTGACATTCCCAACATGAAATTCACAACACGTGGCTTTTGGCTCGACCCGGCTGACACTCAAGTTAAACTCGTCTGGCAACGGCGCTTTGCAATCCATTCTGGATTCAGCGCAGCACAACAGCCCGCTGGTTGCCCATGCCGAACCTAACCTCTTACTGTTATCGTGTCCAAACCCTTGCAGCCCACCGTCTCAACATGCCTGGAAAATTCAAAGCTGGGCTCTCCAGCAGCAAATGCCGTTGAGGAAAATGCCAGATGATGATGTGCTCCAAAGAATATTTCATGTCACAAGCTGGCTGCACACCCCCGATACCCTGCAAGATAAGGTACATGCTCTGACCCCGCAGCCTCCACTATTGCGAACAAGATGTGTAGCAGTGTAGCACTACCTGCCAAACCCCCAACCCCTTCATCAAGTGGAGGATTTCATCCGGGATCATAACCTCCTCCAGCAAGAACACTCCCTGCATTGCAAGATTCGATCGAATTCAATTAACTGGATGGCGGAGACTGGCTACAGTCTTGCGCTGCAGTCCTTAGTCTTCATAGGGTTGCTGCCACATTGTGCGCTGAATCATCTCCTCTAGTCTTGCAGCCTCGTCTGGATCTTGCACTGCTTGGATCAAGCTCGCCAGGGATATCGCAGAGGCTGAAGCAGATGCCGACCCTTCGGAAAGTTGTAGGCTGGTTGTCCCGGCTTCTTGAAATGAGCGCACCGAACTGGCATCAACATCACGAGTGTGAAAAGTAGGGCAGGAAGCTGGATTGAGGTCTGCACGCCCGTCACATGAAGCATGAACGTCCTCAATACTCTGCATGATAAATTGTTCGACGCCCTCGCGCGAATAGCCATCCAGCACTTTGATGCTCCTGCCACCACCTTCGCGGATCAGAGCGGCCCACTCTGAAGCTCGACGGTACGTCTTATTCGACTGAGCCAGGATGCACATCTCAAGATGGAATTGCTGTGATCGTGCAGTTGTCAGCAGGTTCACCCCATCAAAAATGGGCTTTGCCTCACGCCAATCTGCAAGGAGAAAAACAGGCTCAGTTGCCCTCTCAAGCCAGTTGAGAAACCCTGTTGACTTCTTGTAAAGCACCAGATTCGAGCCGAAGCTCGCAGCAACTTCCTGTAGTTCGATCAAAGTCTGGCCCTGGTCGGCTTTGTTGCACCGCTCGTAACACCACACAAGACAAAAACTTCCGGGGCTTGCTTCCTGCGGCCGGCAGACGTGCGCGGACTGCGCAGTGGCCATGCGGGTCGCGGAGGAAAAATGTACAAAACTATCAAAGAATGCTTGAGCAATGTACCAACGCGGGCGTCCAGCGAGCAACAAACCATTCGGTGTGCTCCACCAGATGCCGCGAACAAGCAAGAGCGGCCACCGGCTCAAGGATACGCTTTGGCGTTTCGAGTTGAGGGCTTCGCGGCTTAAGCTTTGAGGGGTAGAGGCTTTAGGTGGGCTCCGTATCACATGCACGAACGCCGCACGCCGCACGCACGCACGCACAGACGGACGGAGGGACAGAGGGACGGCCACAGGCACGCACACACGCACACACACACACACACACACACTTACTTCAACAAGGCCTGCCTATTGCCAATGACATTGCGAAAGTGACATCCAGGTCTCGCTGAACGTCATCCGCGGTCAGCTGCTCACCGGTCCAAAGTTTGCTATAGGTCGCATTGAAACCTGAGGCAAACGGATATTGAAAACCCAGTTGATCATGCTACACATGTTCGGTGTTCACGTTGGCTGCTCAAGTCTTTTGTTTCACGTACTGAAACGAATCAATTCTCAATCTGGCTTGGTCTTCACAAATGCAACCAATGACATGAGATTACGAACAGCCTCCATCAAAACAAGGAGCCTTCCCAGTTTCTCTGTAGCCAAGAAATTGTTTCCAGGCGTCCTTGCAAAACTCTCAGGATCAACGACACCATTGGAGGACACGACGTCCGAAAGCCCAACGAAACCCGAAACAAGATGAATAACAACATTGACTACTTCGTCTTCGAGCACAGCAGCGCGTGAAGACAAAGTGTGTGGACTTCGGCTATGCCGTCCGGTGATATGGGAATGGCGGATTGATACTTCTTGACTTGGACCCTGCACACTGCTTGCACATATCATTGCGAAGACAAAGGTGCCACAGGCCTTCGTCGCTTCGCTCTTTCTCGGCTGTGCTTTGCCGGTCCCCACCACGGGGTCCAGAGCCACCAGGAGACACGAAGCCACACGACGAAGACAGGGCCTGAGGCGCACGCACTAACTCGGCTTGGACTGACCTTGTGAATTTCGGCACAAGGGCTGTCGGAATTCGATGTGGACGACAAGGACTGCAATCTGCTGCTCAGGACAACACACGGCTTTGAAGCTGAAAACCACAAGCCTACGGCATATTGAAGGAATCTGGTGAAACGAACATCATACAATCCCTGGGAATGCATGCATGCATGCATGCTTGATTTGCACCCCGCAACCTCACTGACAAGCGCGGATATTGCGGTCATAACTGCCAGCGCAACACAACATCGACGACAGCGTGATGCCACCATGGGATCTGCAGTGAATCCAAAATCAATCCATCGAGCTTGGCACATGTCGGCTTGGGTTTTCAACATTACCCACAGCTTTGAAAATTCATATGGGCTTGATTCACAGAGCAATGTGCGATCAGTGCATGAAAACATGTATTGCTTTGCCTGACACGCAACTAGTGCAACAAAAAATGCGGCAATCAGCAAGCATTGAAGTGCGCACCTTGTACTATACCGTCCTTCCGATTGCCTCCACTTCCGGCTAGCGAATCACTGGACGCATCCAAAACCAACGAAAGTGCCGGACACGGGCTCCCCTTAACCTCTGAAACCACATCGCCACAGATGTTTGACAATCATACCCCGACTATCACAAACACGCGACCACAGTTGTTACTGCCCGCCTGCCCACGGGAAAGTTCTCAAGTCTGGCAGCAACTCTCTTTGTTTTGAAGATCGCCACACCGATATCAATGCAGAAAGTCCTCTGCGTGAGTGCCAAATTTCCACAACCTCTACGATGGTAGGCATACACAGACATGAGTATGACCCGCCCAACGAACTGAGATATCCTTTTCGTAAATCTTCGAAAGCCGCTTACCTACGTCCTTTCGAAACCCGGCAAGAATCCACTGTTCCAAAGCAAACTTTAAAGATGCTTGGTGATCTGGTATTTTTTTGGCGTATGTTGGCCTTGCATAGCAGCTCTTAGTCTCCAGAGAAAAAATGATTTTACTTCGAACATCCCCACCCGCCCCACCCTAGCGCCTTGTCCTTCCTACACGCGAATCCTAAAACCTAAAGAACCCGAGCGAAAGCCTTAAAAAACCCTGGTGTTCCCGAGCACTCCCGCCGCCACACTGCAGCCGACAACCCTGGTATTCCTAAGCACTCCTGCGGGCCGCCACACACACACACACACAAAACAAGAAGAAGAAGAAGAAGCCACACGAAATCGTTTTATGGGGTGGTTTTTGCAAAGAAAATAAAATCAGAAAAGCAAACTTACTAGTTAGTGAAACAAAACACAATTACAAGCCTCCCACGCAATCACACTGACTGATTCGGCCAAGAGTACGAGTGCAAGAGAAGAAGAGAGAGGCATGTTGTACTGGTTTGCTGTCAAATCAACCGTCAAATGTGGCAACTGAAAACTCTCTAATCTTGGCACAGGGGCCCGCTAATCTTGCTGGCTCAGGGGCCCCAGCTCATTTTTGCAGGTACGCCAGACTGATCAGGTCTGGTATCCACCATTACGCATAGCTTCGTTGGCATGCGTTTGCGTAATGGCCGCATGCCCCCTGCAAATGTTAAAGTGTTTGACCACATGTGTTTCGCAAAAACTCCATGAAAATGCAAGATAGAAGGAGTGACCCTCTGCTCCCATGTGCTAGGGAGGTTCACACACACACAGCCCCTGTTGGGGCGTGAAAATTGTTGCTGGATGCAGATAGCATGAATCACTCGATAAAAGGCGCTCTTTTATTGCCGTCAGCAGCGTCCGGGTGCCTGTCGCAATTCCTGATCGGAAATTGTCCTAACGAAAAGCACGGGCAACAAAGTGGTCAAAGTAGTGACCGAATCCCAATCATGTAATCGTCGTCGATTTTGTTCGAAGAAGAATGCAGAAATCTCTGGTGTTCTTCCTGTAATCTCCTTGATGCGATAGGAGAAGATCTTCCGTGCTTGAAGTACGGTGTCGCCAAGACAAAGCACGACGTGTATGGACATGTGTTTGTCCCTGGTGATGCGGTCAGGTGGTATTTGGACCGTCATCCGAAAACACTGACTTCGCATAGAATACCATGGGAGGCCTGCTTCAGTGGCCTTTCGCTTTGGCATGGTGTGGATTGGGTGGCTGCTACTACCTGAAAAAGCTGCGAAAAGTCGGGCGAACCAATATAAATGTGAAGCAATAAAGAGAGAATGTCGCAACTATGTGTGGCAGTGCATTGTTTTTGCGGCACTGCTTCAGGCCTTGGTGATCCAGGATCTCACAGAAAATATTCACAGTCCTGTGGGAGACCTGGAGGGACACTCGCTCCTCACCTTGAAGTGACAATGGCATCTGTATCCCGCTCGTACGAGCATCTTAGCACAAGCGGTCTTAGAACGTTTGTACATAGTAATTGGGTGCACCAAGTCATAAGGTGCAATGGAATCTGAAGACCAAGGCTCACGAGAAGGTGAGCGGCAACGGTCATCGACTCTGCTTGATGTTGCCGTAGGTGGAGCTGATGACGTTGAGCGCGAAGAGGGTGTTCTCGTTCGCCTTGTTGTCTTCCTCTGTCTGTGACGTTGTTTCCGTGTAGATGATGCTGAAGATGCATTAGTACGTGGTGGCTTGCGTTTCTTGTCTTTCTTCTTCTTGGTCTTTTGAGCCGCAAGTTTGCGTTTCTTGGGCTTCTTGTGGCTGGATGAGCAATTGGCTGCGGGGCCTGTTGTTGTTGCTGTGTCAAGAGTCGTCGGCGGTGTCGTCGTGTCGCTTGCACTAACTGCCAAAATGTTGCTTGAAGTCGACTGATGCTGTGAGGCGTCCTTTGTAAGGAAAGCCTCGAGTTCGTCAGATCCCCAAGAGCTGATGTCATCAGCTTCCTGTTGTGATGCCATAGCAACTGTATATGAATGAGTGAATAAATGGCTGCGGAAGGCAATCGAAAACATGTGTTGTGTGATTTAGTCGCACTATACGGCAAATGCCAACATGGAACAATTGCAAATCGGATTGTTTGCTGATGCTCTTAAGGAGGGTTCCACATCTTCACTTGAGTAGATGTGAACGTACAGCTTTGCTGTATGAGGTGACTGCTGTAAGCAGCAAATGTGCAATGAATTATCAACTCAGCCTGGTACTCATGGAGTGCGAGATCTCTTTCTCTTGTTGGAAGTAGGTGTGGTGGTGTCGGATTCCACCTCCTGCGTAATGGTGCCGGAGGGTGTTGCACGTCGATCTTGTGCTTGTGAGTGGTTGCGAATCCACTCCTGGGAGGCGATGAAGTATTCTCGCCACCATGAAGAGCCGTTTGTGGCCCAATGCCATCTCCATTCCGCTGCGCGTGGAGATCTGGATCGAGTGCGTCGCTCCATGATTGTATCAAAACGAGCTGGTCTTAAATGGCTGCGGTCAACATTGTATGAATGGCAACGCTCATTGTGCAATGCAAAAGATGTGCAGAATTCAAACTGCATCATGTAGTGTAAGCAACATGTCTTTGATTTCGCACAGTGGTAGATTTCGCCTGTGCTGTATGCTGACCAACAGTCTTTACTGTTGAATCAGTGCTTCGAGTCTGTCAACTCGATCTTTCAATTCTGCAATTTGTTGAGTTGTTTGCAGAATAAACTCAGCCAGCTGATCGCGGAATGTCTCGTCGCTGAACATGGAGCCCTCACTGTTGTTCTCAGAATCGTGCTCTCGGTGTTCCGTCAAAATCTCAAACAGAGCCCGGCTGAGAGCTTCTCGACGTGCTTCCTGATTGTCTGTAGTTGTGGTCTGTGTCGGATTGGATGCATCGCTCATGGCTTCCTGATGGAAGACTGATAAGAAGCTGGCTACAATCAAAACTGTTGCTGGAGCACTTGTGGTTGCAAATGCAAGACAGAAGTGAACCAATGTGTAACTGTTGCGACAACATGCATGGAGAAATGCATCTTTTGACGCTCTGATTGTCTCGTCCACACTTAGGACCAGTCTGGCGTGTTCTGCCTCAGCAGACTCTCGAGAATATCGAGTTGCTGTTTGCACGAAGCCATAATTGCGGTAGTGGCTTCATGTTGAGTCGTCAAAACTGTCGTGGCTTGTTGTATCAAGCGCTCAAGCTTGTTATTCGACTCAAGCAACGAATTGTGAAACTGATGCAGTAAATTAATAATCTCAGTGGTGCTTGTTGTCCCCGGTGGTGCTCCCGGAGGAGTCGCTGGTCCGGGAACGTGAGGTTGTCCGAGTTCCTCAGGATCTTCTGTTGGCTCCTGATGTTGTTGATCATCTTGTTGTTCTTCCTCCTGTTGTTCGGCCACCCGTAGTATCTGAGACCGGAGTGCAGCTGTCGGTGGATCTGTGCTGCGTGTGGATGGCTGATGGCGGCCGCGTTTGCTTTGCTTGGAGAAAGCCGACTGGGGAGGTCGGTTTCCCAGCGCTTTGTGCCGAGGCTGCAATCTGCCCGTCATGGCACTTTTATACATGTTGGAAATACAGAACCCTGAAAACGGCTGCGGTGCAACTCAACTGTAAGGCGCAAATGCAAGTGCTTGAAGTTACATGAATGCAACTCTGAGCAACGGTGCCTGTTGTTTTCCTTACAGCTGTCGATCCTCGTAGCCGGCCGCAATGTACAAATCGCGCATGGCTTGAATGGCATGTTTGGCTTCATTGCTGGGCGTGGTCACCCGTCGGATCATACGGGTGCGTGCCTCATAGCTGCTTCGAAGTGTTGCGCTGGATGTGGCCGCTTGCGGATGTAGAATGTCGGCCTGATGTAGGTTGCACTGGTAAGTGAGGCTGCTGTGATGTGGGTTGACAGCGAAGCCAAGGAAAACATCTGCCGGTTCAGTTTCAAGCTGGACCGGTGGTTTGTAAAAGGTTGCAGCTGTGAGCTGTACAAAAGGAGGTAATCGTGTCAAGTGCTTTGGTAAAAGAAGGACACGGTTGTCGACGTATCTGGTTGCGAAATAGATTGTGTGATCTTTGTGTGTGGTGCTGGGAAAGTGCTTGTGATTGGTGAAAAGTTGCTTGTACGTGTGATGCCAACACTGTTCTTCGACTGCTACTACGATGTTGCATAAGGCTGGGCTGCATGGTGATCCCATGGGTGCTCCACGAAATTGTTCGATGAGCGTTGTGCCCACTGTAATTTAGTTGAGCATCAAAACTGCAGTGATGAGCTGTGGAATGTGTTGGAGCTGAATACACAGCTTGTTGCCTGATGAGGCTTCTTGTTGTTTTTGTCTGCTTTTGCCACGATGGACTCGATGTGTGGGGTCTTTTTGTGAGTGATCAATGTAAAATTTGTTGGAGTGTA